GATGTAAATATCCCTTAATTTCACCTGTAAAGCCTCGAAATCAGAAGCAGAATTTAGTATCCCAAAAAAATTGCCATAGATTTGTTAAAAGCTAGTATAAATGATATATCCCAAAAAAGTCATATTTGTCAGAGGCTCGGTATCCATTATACAGAGCGTCCCATATCATTAAATTCTCATTCTCCAAGTTTTCACGTCAGCATAAATCTATAATACTCGAAAAACCTAGCATTTTCCGCAAGCAAAATCTAATTAGTCTAATTTTAAAATGATTCTTAAATAATCTGCTTAGTCCCGAAAATCGTTATAAGGGTATGTCGTCGCCCACAAAAAAATATTTCCCCAAAAACATCAATATATTTTAGTAAACAAACCCCCAGATAAATGTTAGAGATCTTCACAAGCAAACATTATATTCAATTAAAAAATTAAGAAAATTAATACCCCTGACCAAATCTTGCACAACTTCCGGAAGCAAATTTGCTTCAAAATATAGATCATGAATACAAACCTTCTCACACTCTAGCTCTACGAGAAGTCTGTCAGCTACGAACTTGATGTATTGCACCATTAGATCACAGTTCATTCCTTAACAAATAAAATGTAGTGAAGTAAATATTTTGGGATTCGAATAAGGTAGAAGTAATTCAATAAATCACAGATTTAGTTTATTTGGTTTTTCAGACAGTCGCTAAGGATTCGTTCATTAATAGCTTGCATTGATGAATATGAATTTATGTTTTTCATAGACAGACCTAAGGATTCGTTCATTAATAACTTGCATTGATGAATATTAACTTATGTTTTTCATAGACAGACCAAAGGATTCGTTCATTAGTAACTTGCATTGATGAATATTAACTTATGTTTTTCATAAACAGACCTAAGGATTCGTTCATTAATAACTTGCATTGATGAATATTAACTTATGTTTTTCATAGACAGACCTAAGGATTCGTTCATTAATAGCTTGTATTGATGAATATGAAATTATGTTTTTCATAGACAGACCTAAGGATTCGTTCATTAATAACTTGCATTGATGAATATTAACTTATGTTTTTCATAGGCAGACCTAAGGATTCGTTCATTAATAGCTTGCATTGATGAATGTTCTTCAAGTTCAGGTATGAGTCACTAAAGTCCTTTGTGACAAACCCTATATATTCCATCGAGATCTGGGATTAATNTACCTATGAGGGCAACGGGAAGGGCGTCAGTAAGGAACTCACACTCAATGGAAACAGCGTCTTTGACAATCTCCAGAATACGCTCCTTGCTGGGCTTCCTCTGCAGGTGCCTGAACAGCAAGCAGGCGAAGTCTGTGTGTAATCCCTCGTCCCTGGAGATGAGTTCGTTACTGAATGTAAGTCCAGGCATCAGACCTCGCTTCTTCAACCAGAAAATGGCGGCGAAACTACCAGAGAAGAAGATTCCTTCAACAGAGGCAAAAGCGATAATTCTTTCGGCGAATGTAGCGTTTTTCGCGTTAATCCACTTGAGGGCCCAGTCTGCCTTTTTCTTCACGGCAGGGATGGTTTCGATAGCGTTGAACAGTTTATCTCGCTCTCCAGCATCCCTGAACAGTTAAAACTTCAGAACAAAAAAGGAGAAGAAATATGTAGTACATATTATTAAACTTTCAACTAAAATGTAGTTCGACATCTAAGTAATTAATTCTTTAGAGTGTCTCTATTTATTACAACGATATCTTCTAAACTTTTATCAGATCAATCATATAGAAAATATTGAACTTAGTACCATTGTCAATTGGAAGTAATTAAACTTAAATTTATGCGTTTACCTTTCGTGTTACCGATTATTTTATAAAATGTTTATTAACCCACCTAACATAAGAATCAATCAGAAGGCTGTACATCTCACTGTGAATATTCTCAATCGCGATCTGGAATCCATAAAAGCATCTGGCTTCGGGGATCTAAAAGTTAAAATTAAAATTTATATGGACAACTTCAGATTTGAGAGTTTGAATAGGTCAGCTCCGATACTTGAAAGCAGTGCTTAGGATTCGGATCCGGATCCGCAAAAATATGCGGATCCGCGCATCAAGATCCAAGGGGTAAAATATAACCTAAAAAATGCAAAAAAACTTTTGTACTCCTAAAACCCAAATCTGAACTTTTGAAAAAAGAGATTATAAAAATTTTCATTTCTGAATGGTTAATCGAGTTTAAGGATAAAAATATGCGAACAAAATATAACAAAAAATATGAAAATTATTTTTTGTTAAAAAATTCATTAAATCGGTAAAGAAATGACGTGGATCCTAAGCACAGATCCTAAGCATAGATCCCCATCAAAATTAAAAAGGATCCTAAGTGTACTTTCTAACCCCCACCCCCCACCTCGCTATTAAGGTACTTAGGGTTGAAGGGGGGCTGGTAAATATTTGACCCCCCAGTCAGAGGGGAGTGGGGGATATATATATAAATATTCAACATTCCTATCACTGAATAACACATGATATATAAAAATCTGACTTGCGTTAAATACAATTTATAATGGGATGGGGCGGCCTTTGTATTACCTGAATCTCCTGCATAAATCTCTCAACCAGGTTCTCGTTAACGATACCGTCTGAGGCGGCGAAAAAAGCGAGAACATGAGAAATAAAGAATCTTTCGTCAGCCTTCAACCCTTCCCAGTCTCTCATGTCCTAAATAAACATTTAAATTTTAAGATATTTACAAATATTGCCCCCATAGGTATCAATAGAATATCCATCTACAGAGGCAGCAACTTCTAAATTCGGTGATGGTGATGGACCAAACCTCTGTAGGGTAAAAAAGTAGATGTTAGTTCCACATTTATTGAAAATATATTTCGGGATCTGTTAGGGTTAAAGGTTACCGTCCCTAAAGTACGAAATATTTTTATGTTTTGGTGTCTAATAATCTGTGCACTATGGGCAGTATCATGCAAGAAAGTAGTGTACAGACTATATAGCTTATGAAGGTCAACTTATACCTAGAAGCTTACGCAATATTCTTACGCATACTCCCCCCGCTAGGATGGGATAGGGGGCCGAGCGCTGCGGCTTGGACAGGCCAGGGGGCCGTGCGCCGCGGCTAGGACAGACTAGGGGGCCTCGAGGCTGCGGCCTCTATATCAATTTGTCGAAATGTACTAAATTGATATGAGAGGGGGAGGAGGTCCAAACATCGTTCTAGCCAGGAAATTAACGTATAATTCAAATGAACTGCAGCAATTAAACTAAGATAATTAATTAAAAAGTACCTTTGATAAATCGACCTCTTCGGCCGTCCAGAAGCTGGCCTCAGCCTTCTTGTACATCCTCCAAATATCAGGATACTGGATCGGGAATATAACAAAGCGGCGGGAATTCTCCTGAAAATAATAAATATCTTTAAAGTGGGTTCACAAAAAGGGTTACAACTGAACCGATAAAAAATTGGAAAATGTCACTATGTTTAGGTAGTTTACCTTCAATAGGGGTTCCACAAAATCATCGGTCTTCTCTGTAGATTTCTCAACTTTATTTTCAATCACAGACTTGTTTTCCTTATTGCTGATCGTCATGTTGTCAAGGTTTTCAATGCTGGTCAGGGTCATGGTGCTAGTGTGTCAGAAGATTAGTTCTCAACTGATTTAAATTCATTCCAGACAAATATTTATAGGTTTCTGGAGAACAGGCAAATCGCGGTTTTTTAGTTGGCCGGGGGATTGAACTCAATTTAAAACCCGCGCCAAGCTCTCCTATTGGTGGACAGTGGTCATGTGATTTTTTATCCTGCCCCTATTGGTCGGACATAACCGGATTACGCTTATGAAACTTCCAAGTTCACCCCCCACCCTTCTGTCAACTGATTTCTCCCCATCCCGCATCCTTTCTACTGACGCTATTCAGGAATATTCCTGCATTTTGTTTTGTACTTACAAGCGTAGGTTTCCCTACATTCCTAGCGTACTGCGTAGTTTTCTGGTTCTGTGCTAGGAAAATAACGAAAAGTCAGACACCTCTGATTTCTCTGATTTCTATTCTAAAAATTGGTAAAATCTGTTTACTTCTTATGTTTTTTTTTTTAAATTATAAGATCCTAATTACAATGACTAAGAAGAATTCTCCCTCATTTTTTCCTCCATAATTGTTCCCATCCTTCTCCTTTATATATTCTCCGAACTCCAGGTTCCCATAATCTTCTTGTAAATCCGATTGTTCTCAAATATCTTCTCCATAACCTTCTCCTTTATATCTTCTCCTAAATCCTAGTTCCCATAACCTCTCGACTTTATTTCTTCTCCTAAATCCAAGTTCCCATACCCTTCTCTTTTATATCTATTCTTAAATCCTAGTTCCCGCAAACTTCTCTTTTATACAGGGTGTCCCACGAAACATGACAATAGCAAGACGACTTGAAAGTCGTCTTTGATATATGAATTTATTTGTGACATTTAGTCTTCTATCTACTTTAACATGTATGATTCTTGAAACAATTATCACATAATTCTCCTAGCCCTGGCATTTCCAAAAAGTGGTCTGCGTTTTTTGTGCTTTCAATATTACCGGAGATACAAAGAGTTTGGTTCAGATTTCAATTTTGTTAAATAAAAGCAAAATTGTCGAAATCTGAACGAAATTGTTCATATCTCGGGCAATATTGAAAGCACAATAAAGGCAGACCACATTTTGGAAATGGCAGGACCAGGGGAATTTTGTGATTATTATCTCTAGAAATTTACTTCTAAAATTAGGTTGACAAATAAACACAGCAAATTATATCAAAAATCAAGACGACATTCAAGTCCCCTTGCATACTGTCATGTTTCGTGGGACACCCTGTATCTTCTCCTAAATCCAAGTTCCCATAATCTTCTTCAAGTTATATCTTCATTTAGTTACAAGTTCCCATAACCTTCTCCTTTATAAATTTTCCTAAATCCTAGTTCCCATAACCTTTTCCTTTATATCTTCTCCTTAATCCAAGTTCCTATAACCTTCTCCTTTATATCTTCTCCTAAATTCAAGTTCCTGTAACAATTCTCATTTATATCTTTTACTAAATCCAAGTTCCCATAACCTTCTCCTTTATATCTTCTCCTAAATCCCAATTCCCATAAACTTCTTCTTTATATCTTCTCCTAAATCCTAGTTCCAATAACCTTCTCCTTTATATCTTTCTAAAATCCAAGTTCCCGTAAACTTCTCCTTTAGAACTTCTTCTAATTCCCAGTTCCATAACTTCTCCTAAATCCTAGTTCCCATAATCTTCTCCTTTATGTATTCTCCTTTATCCAAGTTCCCATAACCTTTCCTTAATCCAAGTTCCATAACCTTCTCCTAAATCCTAGTTCTCATAATCTTCTCATTCATATCTTCTCCTAAATCCTAGTTTCCATAACCTTCTTCTTTATATCTTCTCCTAAATACAAGTTCCCATAACCTTCTCCTTTATATCTTTTCCTAAATCCTAGTTCCCATAATCTTCTCAATCATATCTTCTCCTAAATCCTAGTTCCCATAACCTTCTTCTTTATATCTTCTCCTAAATACAAGTTCCCATAACCTTCTCCTTTATATCTTCTCCTAAATCCTAGTTCCCATAATCTTCTTAATCTTGCTATCCTCCTAAATACTTGTATTTTAATATCTTTTATATCTTCCAATTTTATCACAAGAAATCGAGGGTGACAAAGCCCATGGAAACTGAGTTAGATCGTTAATGGCTCTAAAAGACGATTTTCGGGACTATAATCCGAAAATAATTAAGAAGAATCATAATTTGAAAATTTACTCGCAGAGAGTACTAGAGTTTTCGAACATATTATATATGCGTATTGGGGCGTTAAAGCTTGAGGACAATCTAATGTTATGGGATGCTTTGTATGTTTGGATGGTTGTTTGAATCCGATAAACGTCAAAATGGCTGACCAGATCCGGCCTCGTTTATATGATCGATAATAAAAAGTTTGCGTTCAGAAATGTGAATCAATATTTTTTAAGAGAAATACAATAATGAAAAACCGTTGAACTTTTTTCATTATAAAAAAGCTCTTCGCTCTTATATTCTTGTATATGTCAGCTATAGCTGGCTAAATGGCTGGACCAAATTAGCAAACATTTTTTTTAGGGTACCCTGGGGGTTGGTTAAATGAATTCCAATTTTTTTTTTCTTTTTCTTCAAATTAGATTTTTTTAAATTCATTATTAGTTGTGCGTGGAAAAAATAATTGCAGTTGATGTAATTATATTGTTCTTGAATAAGCTAGAATTGTAAAAAAAGGAGAGGCGGAATGCGCCTTATAAAAGCCATAATTGTTAAATATTTTTAAATCATCATTTTTAACAACTTACCACTCTAACAGCCACTGTGCAAAACCTTTTTATAAATAACCTATTTATGCACTCAAATTTTGTACGTCAAATTCTGTCCAAAAACGTTATAAAGCTGCAAATAAATAACAATTTCTTTAAAATATATATATATATATTTAATTAGGCCTATTTTCCAATGAACATCTATAATTCATAATTGACTTTTTAAACGATGTTTTTTGTAATGTATATATGAAAACAAATAAAATCTTCTGGAGTAATCAATTCCTGTATTTTGTTCATAAATCGTAAAATAATAATAAATTTATTCTGATATATCCAAATAACAGATTTGAATTAATTATACTCTTATCTACGTTATTACTCTAATTTTTACAACTCTTACAGGGTTACCCACAGAGCATGAGACTTCAGAGACGACTGTCTGCACGGTATTATTTAAACTTTCTTGGTTCTCTGTTATAGCTAGAATCTTCATGTTAAAGCATTTATTATACCATTAAATCTTTATTTAAGAATGCAATTAAAACAATTTCCAGAAATTCAGAGTTTGTGGCAAAGACTCAATTCCTAAGTTTGAAATATCAAAGATTTATTAGTTAAGGCTGCAAAGATATAGAGATATATACAATTTGAGTTTGTGGCAAAGACTCAATTCAATTCCTGTAAAGAGTTTCAGCTAGGTTGTCATATAGGTCTCATCCTTTGTGGTAAACCCTGTATATATCTTTTTGAGAGTAACTTGACGATTTTTTAATTGACGATTTTCATACTTGACGATTTTTATACTTGACGATTTTTATACTTGACGATTTTTATACTTGACGATTTTTAAACTTGACGATTTTTATACTTGACGATTTTTATACTTGACGATTTTTTACGAATCTTTGCTTTGCTTATTTTGAAGAAAAAAATTGACTGTTTCAGGGGCGACATCTTTTTCAAGTTTAAATGTATGTATCTGAACATTATTTTTGTTATCAATCAAAGAATTAGATTTCTCAAGAATTTTTCACATTTTTGGCTGAATTTTAATTGAAAAAAAATACAGTGATAACCAGAAAACTCTGGAATTGAGAAAAATAGTCTAATTTTAAAACCTTTTAATTGTAAAAGTAAATGCAATATCTTTTTCCTTGTGACAGATTTTTTAATAGATTTTTCAAGGGGTTCTTTTCGCCTTAGCTTAAGTATTCTTTAAGTTATCAACTATTATATTAGATTTTGTGAAAAAAATTAAACCGACCGCCTTTTCAATGTTCTGCATTTAAAATTTCTTTTTATCTTTTTATTTCTTTTTCTCAAAAAAAGGGAGACACGGATAAAAAATTGGATGAGGAGGTANTAGCATAAATATGTGAAGTACACCTGCAGTATGGAAACAGTACAACAAAATGGCCGTTTTACACTTTTTTCTAGTAAATTCCCCTCTAATATATATTCTATTCTCTTTGGTTATATCTGTTCAAAGTGAATTTATTATCATAGAATTAGCACAAAATTGATAAGCATGTTTATCAATTATAATTAAAGATAGTTAGAGATCAAAAACATCTTGGGATATATTCAAAGAAATTGATCGTATTAAAAAATAATGAGAAGATATTTTTCATGGAAAATTATAGACTCGAAAATAGTTTTGAATTCTAATGTATATATATATATTTGTTATAGTTAGATAAAGTTATAGCTTGACCAAATTGGCTGAATTTTTTTGAGGGAACCCATGGGTACCGTTGGGGTAATATTCGCAAAAAGAATTCGCTCTTTTTTAAAATCGAATTTTATTTTTCAAAAATCTATTTTTTTCTCACAAAATTTGATTTTAAAAATTCCACTGGCAACGCACTTTAGCTAATAATTGAGTCTTTGCCACAAACTGAAATTTTTTAATTCTTACATATTTGCAACCTAATGGTCCAGGCCTTTGATGTCTTAAATTTGGACTCTTTGATCTCACAGTATTCATAGTTTAAAACATTTAAGGTCTATGGGCTACACAGTACACGGGCAGCCGTAGTACATTTGAATTTCCGAGCCGGGTCAACCTTTCCGGTTCCAGTTTGTACTGGACCTAGATCTATGGACAGGACTAGCCGGTGCAACAAGGTTGACGCGGTCAGACTTATTCATTTATAAAGGTTGAATTTACTTTTACTAAAGGGGCAGAGGTGCGTGGGTACTAAGTTATAGGGATTAGAAATTTAGAGTTTGTGGCAACTACTAATTTTCTTCGAGGTTTTGTCTCTATAGTTGTTGTCACGGGAAGAAAGTTTTTATTATTTCTAATTGTTTATGAATACTTTCGTTGTTTTTGGTTCAGAGTTCCTGCTTTCTAGACTCCCGAGATGGGTAAAATACTTTTCCCCCCTCGCTTTTAGCATGTTTGTTTCAAAATGGAATTAAGTTTTTGCCACAAACTATGATTTACTAATCCCTATATATCTTTGCAACCCAATGTCGCAGACCTTATATGTTTTCTGAATTCTGTTAGATAAAATAATCTAAGTTTGAATTATCAAACGTTTACACCATCAAGTTGCAAATATAAAGGAATTATAATAATTTAGTTTGTCACAAAAACCAAATTTCTTTTCAGTTTCGATTTTTCAAATATTGGTATAAAAGGTAAATTAAATCCGGTTTTTTTAGTTGAAGCAAAAGTAAATTTAAAAAAAACTCTTAGCAGAAAAAAATTTATACTTTTCAATATTTTGTGGATTAAGAAACCTATTTATGATTGTACAATTGTGAACCCTTATTGTACACTATAAAGTTTATAGAATAAGGAAATAGATTTTCAATATTTTGTGGATTAAGAAACCTATTTATGACTGTACAATTGTGAACCCTTATTGTACACTATAAAGTTTATAGGATAAGGAAATAGATTTTCAATATTTTGTGGATTAAGAAACCTATTTATGATTGTACAATTGTGAACCCTTATTGTACACTATAAAGTTTATAGGATAAGGAAATAGATTTTCAATATTTTGTGGATTAAGAAACCTATTTATGATTGTACAATTGTGAACCCTTATTGTACACCATAAAGTTTATAGAATAAGGAAATAGATTTTTTTTTGATGTCTCAACAAACTTTATTTTGTTTAGTTAGATTGACTAAAATAAAAAAGTGGTTTTCCTGTAAAAGTTTTACTTAATAAATTATAAATAGTTTATCTTCAGTCAGGTTATAAAAGGAATTCTGCATAAAAAAGAAATTGTTTTAATAAGAGAATTGACATCAGAAAAGAGAAATAAACATTATAAAAAGAGAAATTAACAATACAAAAAGAGAAATTAACAATATAAAAAGAGAAATTAACATTATGAAAAGAGAAATTAACAATATAAAAAGAGAAATTAACAATATAAAAAGAGAAATTAACATTATGAAAAGAGAAATTAACAATATAAAAAGAGAAATTACCGTTATAAAAAAACAATTTAACATTTTGAAAAGAGAAATTAACAACATAAATAGAGAAATTCCGTTATAAAATGAGAAATTAACATTATTATGAAAAGAGAAATTAACATTATAAAATGAGAAATTACCAATATAAAATATTCTCATTTTTTGTTTATTTTCATGTAAAATTGCACATTCAAATCACAACTCCTCTAATAGAAGAGTTATTAGATTAATATAAATGCTTTAAATTTCTAATATGTATAAACCAGCTAAATTTTCTTTACTCATACCTGTGAGATAAACCAAAACTAGAGGAACTAGGATATCACAAAGTCTCACCAGTAATGTTGGAAAAATTTGGTCTTCTCCTTCGGTCCCATTTCAATTGCTTTATAATGGTTTTAACTGTTACAGAAGCTGGCTTGTGTTTCTGAGTAAAGGAGAGGAGAGTTTAGAAAAACTTGAAATATGTTATCAAAGTAAAAACAATTCCGAAGAGTTTGAGACGGAGGAGATTACGAGAAAGAAGGATGAAGAGAACGAAGATAAAATCAAAGAAAATAAGAAGGATGAGGATAGCTTCGAGTCCACAGACTGTTGGAACTGTCCAGATCAATGTGATCCGAAGGTCTAAACTCAAGGGTTTAAATTTATTTTTGATAAATATTGTTTTCCAGAATTCTATATTCTTAAATTTATAACATATAATGCGTTTTTGATTTTTCAATTTTTAAGATTTTAACTTTTTAAGGAATCATTCGATAAAATAGAAGATTTGGTCGTTTTTTAATTTGTTAATAATTCCATCTTCTCAGCTTTATTTTAAAATGAACATTTGACCAATTCAAATTCATAATAAAGATTGAAAAATCATAGATTTTACTTTTTTCTGGAAAAAAGAAAAGTTTAATTTTATTATAAACTTGATGGTTTGCTCTTGAGTAGATTAAAGTGGAGAGTGGACGCAGAGCTCAATCATTCTGTTCCCAGGGGTTCATAGAGCTAACCAGTCTCAGGTATAGTATAGAGTTGGGAATTTTTCAGTTCATCATGAGACATTCTGGATGTTTGGATTTCAGGAGATTTTATAAATTCTGAGGAGTTGAACATATTTCAAAATTAAATTTGATCTAAATTAAGTTTTCTTTTTACAGTTTCATAATTTAGCATGAACCTGGTTTTTGGCGGATTTGAGATGCGGCTCAAATTCATTAAATTCGACCTCTGAATGTTAAAAACTGAATAAAAAACTATGCTAAACTCGAGTGTATAAAGAGGGTACAGCAAAAATAACATTTTTAAGAAAAATACAACGCGTACATTTTACATTAAATTTTGAATCTAATTTTGATATTTTATCTTAATTCAATAATCCTTCTTTAGACATGAGAGAAAGCATGGTTTCTACATCGTATTTAAAACTTCTACTGCTTCTATTAAAGATTTAATAGAGGTTGGTAGATACAGGTTAGTATTAGAATACTAGTCCGAAAAAGCAAAATTTTCAGTTTAAATTCTTTTCAATATGTGATTTTCTTTAAAGAAATGTTTATAACTTAAGCTGAGAACGTGTAAATGACTGGAATGAATTAATCTTGTCCCTAATAAATTTAAATTTTTTACAACTACTTATATGGAACTTAAGTTAGGAAATTTTACCTTACTGCGCTCTGGATGTTTAGTTAGCATATTTAGGACAAGGGAACCCGTGGCTAAATAAAATTATTAATTTCCCAAAAAGTAATTGTACATAATTTTATTGTTTTTTGAGATGAAAATGCGGGATTTTTCTCGTGAAAACTTTGCAGAGCTGGTGGTTTTTACATAATAGTCTGAAGGCAATCTTGGGTCGGTAATGTTGGTCAAAATGCGCTTAACTCAACAAAACTCTTTCATATTTGTCAAGATTCAGAGATTGAACCAATTTAATATTTAATTAATACGCCTCAATTTTAGAGATTAAAAATATTTATCTTAACTTCATGATTTTAAAAGGTTTGCATCTGAAAAATAAAAAATGAAAGCAACAGATGAAAAAAAAACAATTAATAATTTCATAATCTTATCAGAGTGAATCCTATCCATTTCTTTTCCACAAACACTCCATTTAAGCTTGGGGGGGGGGGTCCTATATATATGTACATACTAAAAACTTAACTTATTGCAGTTTTGGATTGCGGAAAGGGTTAAGTTGGAGAAAGATGTTGGGAGGTAGAGTAAACTTTCAACTTTTTCAATATTTCAACATTTAAACTTTAACTTTAAGAAATATACTGCTCAATTCTTCGTTGTTTAATACTTTCAAAATATAATTTTGTTGTCGCAAAGGAACAAGATTCTGACGATGAACAGATAGACAAGGAATAACCCTCAAATCAAAATCGATAATGCAGAAAACTCTTTATTTTCTAAAAAAAATGAAATGAATAATGATAAATAATTATTACAAGGGTTTACAAATTTATAATGAAAAGATTCTTACGATCTATTTGCTTATTTGTGGGTTAACTGTCGAAAAGTCCTAAGACGCTTTTTAAACATTAAAACTTCTGAAAAGAGTAACAATTAAATGTTGAGGAAGGTCACTAATTCTTTATATGAAAATATTCTTGCTTAACTTTGAAGTGGTTCACAATTAATAAACGTTTATACTCTCGGAGAACAAAGAAGAAAAGCGGGCTGAAATTGTTTGGTTTGGTTTCTCGTCTCCGAGAGGAGCTTTTAGGTTGAAGACGACATTACATGGAGGGGGGGGTCTTAATGTTAATGGTTGACAAATTTAAAGGAAGCTCTGATAAATTTAAGAAGGGAGCGAGAACACGAGGTTGTAGATGTTCAAGTTTTATACTCAGTTAGTCTGTACCAAAGGCAATGCATGTGATTTAAAGGTCTCACGCTCTCAAGCATAAATCTATAAGAATTTTGCCAATTATTTCGTAAAATCTAAGCCCACTTCAAAGTCGACCCTGCCTTAAAAATTGATGAGACTTCAGTTTATCAGTAGAATGAATAATAGTTTTTTTGGCAAAAATCAATTGAATAGCATATTTATAAAAATATTCGATTTTTTATAACAAACTGTGATTTTAAGAAAAAAGTTCCTATTTAATAAATGATGAATTTTTTATTTTCTCTATCACTTCTTTTGAAAAAAAATAGATTAACAGATTAAAATATATTGAAATTATGCTTTACTAACCCAATGTCCAGGCGATTCAGTATAACAAACTGGGAATGGAAATGTTGACCCAGCTCGGAAATTAAAATGTACTACGGCTACCCGTGCAGGATCACTGTAAAGAATTTCGGCGTCTCTACAGGGTTTTAAGTTCTTGTTTTCCAAATTACCGGAAGGGAGGGGAGGGTAAAGAAAAGAAGAAAATGGAGAATGAAAAAGGAAAAATAAATGACAAAATTATTTTAAAAAAAAAATTTTATGATCCGTTCCAAATAATTAAAAAATAGTTAAAAATAAAAAAAAACTCCAGGATCTTGGATAATACGAAGCAGAGAGAATAAATCAGTTTTCCTGTATCCAGATCTATCTACAGCACTGGTTAGTTACTTTTTCATTGAATTTGTCGACTAAACCCAGAGGTCACATGACCAGAAAGGTTTATTATTTGTGAGTTTTATGCTGTATGAAGAAAAAATGACAGATAGTACAGTTTAACTCAGAACTTCGGAGACATCAAAAGAATTTTTAAAATGTCGTCTTTACAATTTTCCAATCTGTTTTATAATACTATACCTAAATCGAAATAATTGTGTAAATGAATAAATTGTCATTATATATGAGAAAACAGTTTAAAAGAGCTCGATATAGTTATTCATTTAAAAACTAAATATCTGCACTCTTGCAGCACTCCATTATCACTTTATCATTATTAATTTTTATAAATTCTTTCGATGTCTCCATGTGTATAAAATTGTTACAAAAGAAAAAAAGACGCGAAGTATCCTCCAAACCATGTTCATTATTATTATTTTTTCCCTAAAATTATTCCTCTTTCGAGAATTTCCTTTAGTATTTACGGAGAACTTATCTTGAACTAAAATAGTTTAATTTAAAGGTTGGAGATTTCTCTAGTTCGGGATCCCTGGAGTCCGAAGCAGAAGTTGCAGAAGTGGTTGGGATATCCTCTCAGGGTGGCATAATAACACCAGTACTCAGGTTGGGATATCCTCTCAGGGTGGCATAATAACACCAGTACTCAGGTTGGGATATCCTCTCAGGGTGGCATAATAACACCAGAACTTAGGTTGGGATATCCTCTCAGGGTGGCACAATAACACCAGTACTTAGGTTGGGATATCCTCTCAGGGTGGCATAATAACACCAGTACTTAGGTTGGGATATCTTCTCAGGATGGCATAATGACACCAGTACTTAGGTGACATATCCTCTCAGGGTGGCATAATAACACCAGTACTCAGATTGGGATATCCTCTCAAAAATGAAAAAGCCATCAACATCAATGAATGAGATTACAGTGAAAAAAATTTGAGTTTTATCCTAATAAAAGTGTTATTGTTCGAAGCTCAAAATAATCATCAACATCTGATAAAACAGATTGTTGCTGGATTAAGTTATTGTTGAAACGTTTCTTCTTTCTAAAATTGTATATTTAGGTCCCTGGGTTCCCGTATTCCAGTTCCAGAACCATCATCCTCCGAAACCTTTCTAAACCAGCCTTTTGTTAAAGATCCATTTGAATCCTTGCATGTTGAGGTTAGTATTGGTATAATGCCAAATACGGCTTTAGAACTAAAACTAGAAAAAACGATTTAAAGATTTCAAATCTTCATACCTGGGTCTACAAAAAGAAATATTATGTTATATTTGGCGACACTTTACCCACTTTAAATAATGATATTATAAAATTGTTCCGATCAATCGCGCGCTGTGATTGGTTGATTGAGATTTCTCATGTCTGCAGATATATCAATTTATCTATTTATCTCGTGCTCAAAATATCGCTCAACCAATAAAATGAATGGGGTTTAAAACATTGATAAAATATTATGTAATNCTCACACTTCTCTTCAAGTACCTCTTGTAATAGATACGCCTAATAAGCTCAAACTGTGTTAGTATACAGGAAGTTCCACTAAACATGCGAATTAATTTCAAGCAGAGAAATTTTTTTTTTAAATTTATTAGTCTCCCCTCTTGTGAGAACCAGGAAATTCTCGAAAAGGAAGACGACTTTTATACACGTTATGACTTTAAATAGTTAAATGAACTTGAGACATAGCAATTGTTTAGTATAATCAAACCCATTTAACTTAAAAAGGGATTTAAAAATGGATTTAATGATTCACTAGGGAAAGTATTTGCTTTATAACAATTTCAAATACAAAAAGTCGTTTTTCTAAATCCACAGTTTTCTAGTTATCACTGTAATCGTACAACTATGATGCTTAGAAAAACTATTGTGAAATATCCATATTTCTGACATTTCTCTGCCTTTTAAGTGTTCTTAGTTTCATTTTGTCTTATAAATCAAAAATTTTCTTTTAGAATAAAAAAGATTTAAGGCCTTTTCATTAAATAGCCAATACGGATCACAAAAAGTCTTCATAAGTCGTAAATTAGTCGTCATGTTTTGTTGAACACTCTGTATATAATAATACTATAAATAATTGAGTGAGGAAAATGATATCAAAAGTGTAAAATATATATTTATTAAGTTAATGCAGATGTTGGGAACTCTTGTATCCAGATCAATGATTAATCGGGACCTTTTGTTGATCTGCAGATTAATTTAATCTTTATCCGATGTCGCATGGTAATCGTACACCGTCAGTTATATAGCACACACTAAAATAATGTATCTTTAACATGATTTTAATGAGTTAAAAAAAAATATGTAACTCTTAAAAATATTTGTGATTCTTAACATAACAAAAAATAATATTTTATATTTTCAATTTTTATATTGTTCAAAGGTGTTTTTGTTTATAAGTAAACTACATAAAAATGACTTGAGAACATACAGCAAAGGCATTTTGCAATGGAAAACAATTTCCCGATTGGGTAAAAGAATGTAAACATCTGAGGGTTGAGTCAATGGTATTCTAACTAAAATTTAGTCTTTCAATGATTTACTGAATAATTTTACAACAAAAAAAATTCTCAGAACAAGATCGTACTACTAAGAAGATATTGAATAATTTATTAACGCTCGTACCTGAAGTCTCATTCTGTCTGGCTCGGAAAAAAAATTTACAACCAAAAAAACTGTAAACTTGCCAAAAACTCAAATTTTATAACTCTGATATCTTATGCAACCTAATGCCATTGACCTTTGATATTTGAAAATATGAATTAATTAGTTGAAATAGTTTATATTAATAAGGGTTTTCATGTAGATATATTCATCTATATATGGGTTTACATCAGTAGGTTACGAATAGATGGTTATCAAATTTCAGTTTATGTCAAGGGTTCAGTTTCTATATTGTTAGTTTTTAAGATTAAATGTTTAGGTGAAACAGTCCTTGATCCCTGGAGCAGGGGAAGGATTGTTTACAACCCGGAGAATCAGAGCTGGTCAACTCATATCCTTCTTTGCGGGAGTAAAGGTTAGATTATAACCCGGAGAATCAGAGCTGGTCAATTCATATCCTTCTTACGGGAGTAAATTTTAGATTATAACCCAGAGAATCAGAGCTGGTCAACTGATATCCTTCTTTGCGGGAGTAAAGGTTAGATTATAACTCGGAGAATCAGAGCTGGTCAACGCATATCTTTCTTTGAGGGAGTAAAGGTTAGATTATAACCCGGAGAATTAGAGCTGGTCAACTTATATCTTTCTAGGCGGGAGTAAAGGTTAGATTATAACCCGGAGAATCAGAGCTGGTGAACTCATATCTTTCTTTACAGGAGTAAAGGTTAGATTTTAACCCGGAGAATCAGAGCTGGTGAACTCATATCCTTCTTTGAGGGAGTAAAGGTTAGATTATAACCCGGAGAATCAGAGCTGGTCAACTTGTTTAATTTTTTGGAGACAAGGTTAGTAATATCCTAGAGATCTCGTGTATATCCTTCTTGGCGGGAGTAAAAGTAAGTTTATAACCCGGAGAATAAGAGCTGGGTAGTATATATATCCTTATTGGCAGGAGATATGGTTAGTTATATCCTGGAGATCTCGTTTATATCCTTCTTTGCGGGAACAAAGGGTTGTTTATAACCCGGAGAATAAGAGTGGTGCAGTGCATTCTTTGCCGGAACAAAGGGTTGTTTATAACCCAGCCGGAGACTCTGTTTATATATTTCTTTACAGGAGAATAATCTGACTTGACATCTTAAATACTTGTTCTGCTCACCCATGGCTGACCAGGACGCTATGCATTAGGTTTCTTCTATTTGAAGTCAGCCGTGTTTTGGTCTAGTCCAACAATCTTACGGAGTTGACATTTTATACTTTTTTCATTTATAAGGCAGATTCCAACAAAAAAGTAATATAGAGAAAAGGTAAAAAATGTATGTTTTATAGGTAAAAATGTGATCGAAATTCAGAGCTGGCTGGGAAAAGGACCAAACGTTAAATCTGCGTGTGCTAACGTGTTCTGTACATGCTTTTTAGAAAATGATAGGAATCGATATTTCTTAAATGTTAAATTCAAACTAAAGTTTTATTTTGTTTGTTTGTTAGATTTTATCTAAAAAAACCATAATTAGATTATCAGGAGGGACATCCAGGGATAAGGACGCCCCCTTNATAGAGTACAAAATTGATCATTTAAGTCCTACAGAGAAGCATATTTATCTAGGTTGAGGTTAGCGGCGAGCTCTCCGAAGAAAGCGATTACACAATATCTTTAGAAAATGGAGTAATGCTTGATATCCCACCATCTCTCAGGTTTTAAACTATTTTAACTTTTTTATTCAAAGGAATTGAGTATTGCCACAAAGTCTGGTTTTTTTTAACCGTTATATCTTTGCAACACAATGACACAGACCTTAGTTATTTCAAACTAGATCAAATAATCTAAATTTAAAATATCAAAATTTTAAACCATTAGGTTGCAAAGGTATAAGATGTAGAAAATGTGAATTTGTGGCAAAGGCTCAATTCTTTTAGCAAAAAACTTGGAACCCTTAAAGGCGACATGATGGAGAATTCCTTATTTTTCCTGCTGGGAATCCCTGTTTCCCGGAACTCAATTTCTTGTCTGAAAATAAGGATTTCTCCGTCATCTATAAATGTAAAGTTGTAATTTCTGTTTGTCTGTTTGGTTGTTTATTGGATCATAACTCAGGAATCCGTTGATCGATTTGCCTCAAATTTTGATTGGGAAACTCGGGAGACCCACGAGATTGTTCTTAGCTTGGTTTTGAGAAATTTAGTTTCCCTGTAAAATCGTTCAAGTGCGGGTAAACGGTGGGAGTAACTTTTAGTAACCTTGACAGCGCTGGGTTCCCAAGCTAGTCAATAATAAAAGGTTGAAAGGGTTCTGTTGTGAATGGGAGATGCCACATATTAAAATCAAGGATCAAATAAAATTACTTGAACAGTCTCTTTACAGTCCCTTTAAACTGAATAAAACTTCCCTTCTTTACGCTAAATTTAATTAAGGAAAATTCCTTTTGGAAAAAAGTTGGCTTAGAAAAATAATGATTTTTGTCATTTAGGAAAAACTTACTGTGTAGAGTTTCACCTTTAGAAAAGTCTTTAACAATATTTTATTGATTATAGGTTTAAGTGCATCCTCCGATCTTTTATAAGAAATATTTTAAAGACATAAAAAACATATAAGACATATTTAATTATACCTAAAAGATTTATGTTTTAATGTTTATTTATCAATGTATATGTAAAAGATTTGTATGTATTGCAATCAAATGTTCTTTATGATCATATCTATTGTGTATATAATGTAATCTCTGTTTGTCTGGGTGTCTGTACTAGTTTGTTCATATTTCCGATCATAACTCAGGAACCTCTGGACCGATTTGCCTCAAATGATGAATAGGAAACTCGGTAGAACCATGCGAATGTTCTTAACAAGCAGTTTTAAAATTTAGAGTTGAATTGGTTGACTTTAAAGAAAAAGTTTGGGTTCCAGGCAAGGCTGGTTTTTAAGTTATCAAAAAATGTAAGAAAAGAGAAACAAACACTAATAAGGAAAATTTATTTTCTAATTCCTATATCCGTCAAACCTGATGGTGAAAATGTTTAATATTTTAAACTTAAACAATTTGATCTGACATAATTCATAGTTTGAAATGTAAAAAGTATAAAACATCAGGTTGGTAAAGGGATTCGACGATAAACGTCTTCAGTTCCTTTCTTAAAACCATATCAATCAGCAACATATTCGAGACCAAGGTATACGCAAATAAGACAGAAGAGCGTACGTTAAAATTTAGGAATTTCTTCTTGATTTGGATCTACGTATTGTGGAACCCTATTCTTGTTTTAGATCTACGTATTGTGGAACCCTATTCTTGTTTTAGATCTACGTATTGTGGAACCCTATTCTTGTTTTAGATCTACGTATTGTGGAACCCTATTCTTATTTTAGATCTACGTATTGTGGAACCCTATTCTTATTTCAGATCTACGTATTGTGGAACCCTATTCTTATTTTAGATCTACGTATTGTGGAACCCTATTCTTGTTTTAGATCTACGTATTGTGGAACCCTGGGGCACAAAGCTTGTCATAGTTTTCAGCCGAGTGCAAGATATAGGTAAAAAGTTTTATTATTTAAAACTTTCGTTAAATATTATCTACAAAATACAAGGTTTTGATGCGGGGGTTTTATAATGAAACTCAATTCTTTTTAGAACTAGACTTAAGCTGATAAGTAATGTTCGTTATAATTACTAGACTTATGGTACAAAGTAATATTTTAGTTTTGAAAATTATTCTTGGGTTGGTAGAATTGCTTTTATTAGTCCAATTTAGTTATGCGGATCATTCTGGGTTAGGTAGGATCAGTTTTTTAGTTCTATTTAGTTTTGCGGATCACCCTCGGTCCGATAGGATCAGACTTATTAGTTCTATTTAGTTATGCGGATCACCCTCGGTTTGGTAGAATTCGATCTATCTCTGCTCTTCATGATATGGAGCCAGGGGAGGAGGTTACTACAGATTACAGGTTAATAAGCCAGGGGAGGAGAATACAACAGATTACAGGTTAATAAGCCAGGGGAGGAGAATACACCAGATTACAGGTTAATAAGCCAGGGAAGGAGGATATAACAGATTACAGGTTAATAAGCCAGGGGAGGAGGTTACAACTGATTACAGGTTAATAAGCCAGAGGAGTAGGATATAACAGATTACAGGTTAATAAGCCAGGGGAGGAGGATATAACAGACTACAGGTTAATAAGCCAGGGGAGGAGGTTACAACTGATTACAGGTTAATAAGCCAGGGTAGGAGGTTTCAACAGATTACAGGTCAATAAGCCAGAGGAGGAGGTTATAACAGATTACTGGTTAATAAGCTAGGAGACTAGGTTACATCAGATTACAGGTTAATAAGCCAGTGGAGGAGGATACAACAGATTACTGGTTGATAAGCCAGGGGAGGAGGATACACCAGATTACAGGTTAATAAGCCAGGGAAGGAGGATATAACAGATTACAGGTTAATAAGCCAGGTGAGGAGGTTACAACTGATTACAGGTTAATAAGACAGGGTAGGAGGTTTCAACAGATTACAGGTTAATAAGCCAGAGGAGGAGGTTTTAACAGATTACTGGTTAATAAGCCAGGGGAGGAGGTTACATCAGATTACAGGTTAATAAGCCAGAGCTAGGGAAGGAGGTTATAACAGATTACAGGTTAATAAGCCAGAGGAGGAGGATATAACAGATTACAGGTTAATAAGCCAGAGGAGGAGGTTATAACAGATTACAGGTTAATAAGCCAGGGGATGAGGTTACAGCAGATTACAGGTTAATAAGCCAGAGGGGAGGAGGTTACAACAGATAACAGGTTAATAAGCCAGGGGAGGAGGTTACATCAGATTACAGGTTAATAAGCTAGGGGAGGAGGTTACAACAGATTACAGGTTAATAAGCTAGGGGAGGAGCTTTTACAACAGATTGCAGGTTAATAAAATAAGAGATAATGAACCAAAAAAAAACTAAAAAAACGAATAAAAATTCTATTTTTTCCATGTTTTTATACAGAGCGTCCCATTTTACATAATGGTTGCCAAAATGCGCTGCTCAAAGTTTTAAAAAAATTCTGCACGGCATTTTTTTATTAGTCTTATAAAGCTGAAGTGGCCGGCTTTGCCCGTGGAATTTAAAAAAAAAGTTATTTAAAAAAAATTTAGATTTTCGAAAAAAAATCGATTTTTGAAAAATACAAATTTGAGAATTTTTGTTAACCTTGTTACCCCCAGGGTACCCATCGTTTCCCTGAAAAAAATCAGCCCATTCGGTCCAGCCGTTTGGCCGGCTATCCGCTATAGGGAACATATTTACATATGTCTTGTTTTATTATATAGAAGATTTAAATGCATTTGTTTAGTCCCCGAAATCTCAAACTAGATTTAATCACGATCTTATAGAGGATGAAATCACCGAAAGAGGATTATGAGAAAAAAATGATGAGAGACACCTTTTGTAGCACAAAAAAGAAATAGGAAAGACTTTGACGGGACTGAACGATCTTGCTTTTAAGTATACTGAACTGTACTTAGAATCCCCCAACCCAGTTCTATAAACTCAATTTGCAAAGTTGTACTTATAGTTGCAGACGCACAACTAAACATTCAACAGGGGGGGGGGGGAGCAAAAGGCAAATATTTCGAGCGTTGTGAGAAAATTTTGTTCAGCCCCCCCCCTAAACATTTCTAGGGGGGGGGGGGCAATATTCAACCATGAAAAAACTACCTTACTAATTCAGTATTGGGGGCAAATTTTGTTTTTTGGAAGCAATTTTTTTCAGTTGCAAGAAATCTTTTATCTTTGTATTATGGTGCAAATTTTATTTTTTGGGGGCTTTTTTCAGTTTGGGCAATTTTGTGTAGAGGAAATCTTTAATCTTTATTTTGGGGGCAACATTTTTTTAGGGGCATTTTCTAAATATATGAAGGGGCTTTTTTTAAAACTTATAAGGTTTAGTCTTTTGTTAGGGCAAAACTTCTTAATCTTGAAGTATTATCTAAAAAAATCAGGGGCATTGTTTTTGAAAAGGACTGTTAATTTGAAAGTTAGCATTTTTTAAATATTTTGGAATTAAAAAAAATTAGGTGAAAATTAAATATTTTGGTGGCATTTTAATACACTGGGTTACAAATGTCGAAATAGGCGTCAATGTCAAATTTAAGTCTGGTCGGGTAATTTGAATAAGAATGTGTGAGTGTAATTTAAAAAATCCAATTTGGGGCAGTTTTTAAAAGGGGGAAAAATAAAAAGAATCGGAGCTTACATTGAAAAATGTTATAGTGAAATTTGAGTTTGCATTAATGGGTTTCAAAAAAAAATATTTTTTTTCAAATTTTTGAGAAAAAAAGCCATTTTGGAACTGTAAGGATCCCTGTATGACTTCTAGCCCCCTCGTCTACAAGGGGGGGAAGCCTTTTTAAGGTTGACGCTTGCCCCCCCCCTTAATCAGGCTATGAGGAGGCAATTGTCCCCCTCCCCTAGTTGCGCGCCAGTGAAATTGTATAAACTAGGAAATCTGTTCGATGAGTTCGGTGCTTGATACACTCACAACCTAGTTTAGTAGTTAACCTTGAAAACATATGTTTACAAAAATCACCACCAGAGTTCTCTGTTATTCTATTTTCTATACTTAAAAAATTACATTTTATTCTACATTGAGTATTTATTGATTTTTTTTTCAACATGAAATATTCTGTTTGACAAATTCAGTATCCATCACTTTTCTTTTATTTTAAGATAACAAAAAAAACATTGAAAGGAACTTAGATAGAAGTCTTTATAAATTATGGTTTACAGCATCTCCTACAGATGACTGTCCTAGTACCCTGTGTAATCTCTTCGCTCTTACTTTTTTTGGAGAGGATAAGACTCCGAATTCTTTAGCTATAGCCTGTAGCTGCACCTGTTAATGTCTCAAAATCCATCGGTGTACACTCTGGTAATTTATCATAGTTAACCATAGTTTGTTCAGTTCGTTCGCTCAGTAAAAAATTCATTCGTGAACAGTCTAGCTGATCCAAAAAATACAAGCGATCGTTAACGATTTTGATTCTTCGTTTCAGAAAACGAGCGTAATTTTTTATTTTCTGAACTTTACAAATTAGCCAGTAAAATTATTTATGTGTTTAGGTACAGTTTAAGGAAAGCTCCGGACTGGTACAGAGACTGTTTACTCCGGTATCTAGTAGAGCACAGGTATTTGATCTAAACAGCCCTGCAGGAGAAGCATAGTTCATCTAGTCAGTCCTAGTTCAACTAATTCTGTCTACTAGTCACATCGGATCGAAATTGGTTTGAATAGATATAAGGATGAGAAAATTAGCGTTTGTGGCGAAGACTAAATTCTTTTTTAGTTTCAATTTAGTTGTGTGAAAAGCGAAACATTATCCTTCAAATTTCTACAAATTTTATTTTGACAGGGAACTATCAAGGATGGAGGCCGAAGCATATATCAATGACATCGCTAATACAAAAGAAAATCAGCATTCTACAATCGAGGACAAAATTGATCACATAAGTTCTGCAGTGGACAAAACAAAATTGATCACATAAGTTCTGCTGTGGACAAAATTGATCACATAAGTTCTGCTGTGGACAAAATTGATCATTTAAGTTCATGTGAAAGATAAAATTCATAACCTGAGCCCTTTCTAAAAATAACATAATTGATCATTTGAGTCCTATAGAAAACAAAATTAATTCGTTGAGTCCTAAAGAGAACAGAAAAGATCATGTGCGACCTATAGAGAAGATAATTGATCATTTGAGTCCTAAAGAGAACAAAATTAATCACTTGAGTTCTATAAAGAGAACAAAATTAATCACTTGAGTTCTCTAAAGAACAAAATTAATCACTTGAGTTCTATAAAGAGAACAAAATTAATCACTTGAGTTCTATAAAGAACAAAACTAATCACTTGAGTTCTATAAAGAACAAAATTAATCACTTGAGTTCTATAAAGAACAAGATTGATCATTTGAATCCTACAGAGAACAAAATTGATCATTTGAGTCCTACAAGATTGATCATTTGAGTCCTACAGAGAACAAGATTAATCATTTGAATCCTACAGAGAACAAAATTGATCATTTGAGTCCTACAGAAAACAAGATTGATCATTTGAGTCCAATAGAGTACAAAATTGATCATTTAAGTCCTACAGAGAACAACTGAACACATGAGCAGCTTTAAAGAACACATTGATCAACTTAATCATTTGAGTCGTACAGAGAACGAAATTGATTATTCAAGTCCTATACAAAACAAAATTGATCATTTATGACCTTTAAAGAACGAAGTGAACACATGAGCTGCTTTAAAGGACACATTGATCTCTGAGTCCTGTACAATGTACATGTAGAGAAAAAAACTGATAATTTGAGCCCTAAAAAGAACATAATCGACCATTTGAGTCATATAGAGAACTAAATTGATCGTTCGCCGCTTCCTGAAGAGAACAAATCTGATTGTTTGAATTCTTTAGAGACCAAAATTGATTATTTAAGTCATAAAGAGAACAAATCTGATTATCTGAGTTCTTTAGAGAACAAAATTGATTATCATAGTCATAAAGAGAACTAATCTGCAATTTTTTGAGTTCTTTAGAGAACAAAATAGGCCATTTAAGTCTCATAGAGAACATAATAAATTTATTAAGAACCAGTGATCACATGATCCTGTGAGAACAAACCTATTCATTTGATTGATCCTATAGATAAAAAAATAATTATTTGCTACAGAGCTATAGAGAACAAAATTGATTATTTGCTTGATCCTAATTGATCACATGAGCCTAACAACAATCCCATTCATCTATTAAGTCCTATAGAGAATAAAAATCATGCTCTCTAAAAATTTTTGATAAAATAAATGATTTTCTTATTTGTACATAAATAGTGAGATTTGACTGGTACTAAAATCCCTTATACACCTAAATAAAATAATTATTTATTATATCATATCAATTTTTTTTTTATCAAATAATTTGCTTTTATTAAGTAATTGGTTATAAAGCCCCAAGAAAAAAATTTCAGTATTCTTCTTATGCGTTTTATAGTGCTTGTTGTTTGTGACCATTTTATAAAAAATATATAAACTATTAAACCTTTAACATAAAATACATTTTGATAATTGAAAATTTATTCATTTTGAATTATTGTAGATTTATAATATTAAACACATTTATGAAAAAGCCTAGAAGATAATTATATAATAATTATAATATTATAATTATATTATAATAATTATAATAATCTATAGTAAACAGCTTATCCTTTTTCTTACAAAGCGTCCCACCACGTCATATTGGTTTATACCCAAAATACTAATAACATATGAAATCTTGCATTGTCTGTATGCAAATTTTTAAATTAATCTTAGAAAATGCAATGTTTTATAATGATAATTTCTGTTTAGTCCCTTAAATACCAATTTAGAGCTAATCATGATCAAGATTATGTGGCACCTGGACACTTCAGTTTCAGTAGAAGAAAATATTTCCATTTAGTGTATAGCGCTGCAATAAGGATTTATCTCTAATTGGATAATGAGATAGGTAGAAAGATAGATGTTACCGCCATACTATTTCTATTGGTTTAGAATAGACACCAAACACATGACTGAACCCTGATTGGATCAGGCGCTAATGGACTCGGCATACAGGAGTGTGTAGCCTACATTCATCGCATAAAACACACTGGGTCCATTATATACCAGGATTAATAGACGGGCTGGCACGAGTACATGTGTATTGTGTGTGTGTACGATTATGATAGACCGGACACGTTTACAAAAGTGTTTAAAAATAAAGCAAATTCAGCGGGAAAAAAATCAAAAAATAAACTATTTTTAATAAGTTTAACCAAGAATCAAAATGTTGTTGCAGTACTGACTCTTCTAGGAGAAATAGGTCAAAATTAGGTTAAAACACTTGCGCTTTGCATTTCCATTTAATTTTAACTTTTGTCTGTTTATACTGTCTGTTAACAATCATAAAATAATCTTATAACTTCAGAGAAAGGTTCGAGTATAGAATGATGATAGGCAATGTGTCCTTATTACAAAGACGACGGATTACATCCCTTGTATATCTAGCTATATATGTAGAAAATGCCCTACTCCATAACAGTTTCCTGTACAAGATCTATCTAGGTACAACTCAGATTCTCTTGACTATCAATGGGAACCACACGGCTACAATCCCGTGAGCTATCAACGCCACTTCCACTGGTCGCGATCTTGTTAGCTATCGCTATCAATCGAAAGCTTATAACTATCAATGCAAAATCAATGGACACAATCCTCAACCTGTTTATCAAAACAGGGAACCACAGGGATACAATTTTGTGATCTATCAAGGCCACTTTAACCAGTGGGTGCGATCTCATTAGCTATTGATATCAATCAGAAGCTCGCAACTATCAATGGGAAATAAAAGGGCACGCATATCCTCACCCTGTTTATCAAAACAGCGAACGATTACTCTCTCGCAGTAAACAGTACGGAGTTTCTATATCAAGGAATGTATTTGAGGTTAATGTGTTACAAGTTAAAGTTAATAGACTTAATTACAATTCCTAGGTCGTTATCTATATCACATGATTAAGAAAATAATATTACGTATTTATAGCACAGTTTAATTTACATATTTATATGATTAGCGGGGATAGATATAACATAGTTAAGCTATTTCCACACAGCGTAGTTTAAGTTGAATGTACGAATTTAAAGGATTAACATTGATGAGATATAAACGAGTTAATCTGATCCCAAATGCATGTTTTAATAATATTACGTAGCTCAGGTTTAATATATCTAGGTATGTTCAGGTTAACAAAATATGGGGATTGCTGGAATTGTTACAGTCCTCTTATATATTTGCTACATATATATACATATATATAAATACTTTTTTGTCAGTCTGTTTGTATCCAATAAACGTCAAAACAGGTAAACCAGATTAGTACCAAATTTTTTGTTGGACATCAAATGACCCACAAAGGGTTTATGGATGGCCGGAATTTAAAAAAAATGCCTTTTCGATTTTCTTAAACTTAGAAAATTCGTTAAAAAATCGGGAATTTTTTTTAAAAAGCCTCGTTGATTAAGAACGCCCGTTTTTACCATTTTTTTGACAAAGTTTCCATTTAAGAATGTTGCAACTGACCTTATTTATTGCCTTCAACATTCCGAATGCATTTTTCCAATCAATTAAAGACTATATACATTTTTTAACTGCAAATTTGTAAACAGGTAGATAAATGCATTTTCCTTAATTTTTTAGAAGGTTTCGGGTAGGAAGGGGGGGGGGGAATTTGTTCATATATACTGCTTTGCTTAAAAAACCGCAAAGAAATTGAGTCTTTTACCATAAACTCAAATTTTTCATGAAATTTTTTTGCAACCTCTTGTTACAAACCTTTTATATTTCAAACTTAGATAATTTGATTCAAAATAATTCATAGTTTAAAATATCAGAGTTTGGGGCAAAGAATTAATTCTTTTTTTTCTTTCTTCTTTCAATTCTCCTGGTGTGTCTGGTGTATTCCCAATTTTTCTTTACTTTTTATTGCAAAGATAGGTAAAAAGAGACATTTTTCCAATCTGCATTTAATGTTTGTTGGAAGTTGATAAAACAGTTTTCTAGGACTTCATTATTTGTACTCAAACCATACCATTCTTCATTTGGACTTTTTAATATTTTGAAAAATGAATTAAAGGGACAGACTGGCTATGTAAGGTAGTTAAACTGAGTATGCAGTGTTGAGGACAAATTCTTTAGGATTCATTTGTGACATATTAAACGTTTCCACGATGTATAATTACTAAGTTTAAGGGCATATAGTCGAAGTTCAAAATTACGAATTTGGGTGGGTACATTTTCAGAATCGTTTTTTTATTAATAATTAAATAACGACGACAAAAAATAAAGTAAAAATTACACAGTAAACTAATTAGATGTTTAGGAACATATTTCTCAAAAGAAATTTGTCAATAAATCAATGTTAGAATCAATTATTTCGTTTTCATCATTATATTGAATTTATTATTTTCTATGAATTTATTCGCAGATTTCTACAAATTCTTGAAATGTCGTCTTTTTAATAAAAATTCCGAAAATCTGCAGAAAATATTTGCGAATAATCAGAGTTTATAGAAACTAATAATTGAATAAAATTAATTATTTTCGATGAAAAGATAAATTTTTATTTGCTCAACCTGTTCCTAAACACCTAATTAGTTTAATATATAATTTTGTTTACATTTTTTGTCGTCGCTATTTAATAATAAAAAAACAATTCTGAAAACGTATCCACCCAAAAGTACTATTTTGAACGCCGACTTTGCGCTCAAACTCAGGATTTACAGATCTTTAAAAAGTTTTATATGTCTCAAATGAATTCTAAAGAATTTGTCCACAACACTGCAGCATACTCAGTTCAACTATTTTACATATCCGGTCGTTCCCTTTAAGGCTAAAACTGCACTTTTTTTTTACATTTTTCGAATCTGAATTCAGTATGAAATATTTAAGAAAATGATATATTTAATAAAATTTGTTAAAAATCTATTTTGCCTTTATTTGTATTGTTGAAGACGATTATTATCAAAGACTATTTAAACATTTCCATCACCAAAAACTTACGTTTTTTAACGTAATTTGCCGTTAGAAACGCATAACTTTACAATCTTTTAGATAAACTTTATCTTAAAACAGATTGCAATGTGATTGGTTCAAAAAAAATTTGGCCTTGGCCCTTGCTCACGTTACTGGCCTAAAATTATGCTTTAGACTATTACAAAACTTTACTTAAAGACATCTAACAGCTTTAGTTTGAAAATATATGGTATTTTTCATACAAATGAGATGCGTAACAAAATCACAATTTTAGCTTTATTTTAGCCGGAGAGCATCCTATCCTATAACTGATCATAACAAATTTAGAAGTTTATAACCATGTCGTTATTTTCCCACCATTTTTATCACCAACTATTATCAATTTATTTGATAACTAGAGTTTTAATGTTGATTGTTTAAATTTAAAACCAATACTGCAGCCAATGATTTCATTTAAAAATGTGCAGAGATAAATTCCTAATGCCCATATCTTCTACTATGCTACCGTCTTATGCTATTATTATTCATTTTTATAGTTTACGCGGACGCGGTATAACTCCGCCATGTTTTTTGCTTAACACAAGGATTAACAAATTACTTGTTCTTTAGTCTTCGTCTAGTTTAATTGTTGTTTAAGATATTATCAAATCTGATCTCTACAGTATCTTGTATTGTTTTTATTCTAAAGGCTTTTTATCAAATGTTCACGTACCACCAATCATGTCTTCGGGTTTTCACGAAACAAAGATGAAGAGAATATTGTTTTTTCATTCAAGAGAGATATGATAGATGCAAAAGTATAATTGCATCCTTTGATGTAAATATATAGTAAAAATTTGTTGAAAGAAATGATAAATAACTTTATAAATGATCTTGTATTAATTAACTGTAGCTCTATGGGTGTTGTGAACTCGTTTATAGGTTTAATTAAGATATTAGATTATTCTATGCGTGTAAAATGATTAACATTAGATCTCTGTGAATTTTAATGTAATTGAGCTGGATCGCTGTGTGACCTGTAGTAAAGCTTTTATGTTTCTCTAATTGGAGATAGACAGATACAGTAAAATAGATAGATAGATAGATAGAAGTGACAGGAAGAAAGGTCAACTCAGTGAACGAATAGAGTTAGATAGATGGACAGACAGAATGATAGATAGATAGAAATAAATATAGATAGATAGATAGATAGATAGATAGATAGATAGATAGATAGATAGATAGATAGATAGATAGATAGATAGATAGATAGATAGATAGATAGATTAGATAGATAGATAGATAGATAGATAGATAGATAGATAGATAGATAGATAGATAGATAGATAGATAGATAGATAGATAGATAGATAGATTCTCAGCTGGGTAGATTTCTCAAGCTTTCTAAAGATATTAGTATTGAGTTGACCCCGTGTTTAGAGAGATCTCTTTTCAGTACATATATGTACTCCTCTTTTACATATAATATTTGTTTGTATTTTTTATTTACATAGTATGTAAACTGTAGGGTACAGGCTGAACAATTAATTTACAGTAATGAGAAATAACTGTCACCCAAACCTTCAGATTTAGTCATTTCCGGTTCTTCTTTACATTTCAATAGTTTTTCATCATGTCTAGTAGTATGGTTGGGAAAACATTTTTTGTACACTGAATTTTTCTAATCTGAATGTCATTAAGTAACCTTGATGTGATGCAGGGTGTCCCACGAAACATGAAAGTTGGTGAATAGTTTTAAATGTCTTCTTCCATATACTGTATTAGATATTAAACACTTTTTGCAGTTTATTTCGTTTTGAAAGTATTTAGCTCAAATATAATTTAATTTGTAATCAATTTTACTATAATATGGCTCAGGACTGGCATATAATTTATCTTTTTATTATTCTCTTTGGTATCAAACAACTTAACAAATTAATGACGAAGACATTTTAAACTATTCATCAACTGTAATGTTTCGTGGGACTGTTTAAAACTCATAGTTTGAAACATCGAAGGTCTACGACCCAGGCTTGTGAAAAAGGTATATGAACATTAAAAATTATAGTTTGAGGCAAATGTTCAGTTCTTAGGAAGCAAAGGAACTAAGTCCTTGCCACAATCTCAAATTTTCATTTCCGCATATCTATGCAACCTGATTATGTAAACCTTATATATTCTAAACTATTCGGAGAAACAGAATTCATAGTTTGAAATATCAAAGGTCTACAGCATCTTGCGGAAAAGATATAAGGATCAAGAAAATCAGAGTTTGTTGCAAGAACTCAGTTCCTTTGAGAAAACGACACAATTGGAAACATTTCTTCATGCAAAACATTGTTTAACATGCATAGATTTATTTTAGAAGCAGAATGGGTTCGTATAGTTACTGTGCTAGTAGTAAGCAGCTAGTATCTTGGTACAGTGGTTCTACTAACCTGGAGCTGGATGCAAACCTAGAACCTACTGCAGCTGATCATGGAGATGTTCTTTATAATATAGGTAGACTTCGGTTCAAGGTTGTATATAAGGTTAGACACTCTAGATGCGCTCCAATGTAGGTAAATGTCGTCTTTATTGCAAAGAAACAGTCTAAATCCTCATATGACGCCACTGCTTATAATTTTAAAGAACATGTTAACATGTTAATAAGTTTTAAGCAAAAAAATGCAATTTTAATTCAAGTTTTCAATTTTAAGTTCTTTTATAAATTGTGAGCCGCAAGATGGATTATTCTTTGCGCAGTGACGTCATTTAAAGATTTAGAGTGGCCATTGCTATAAAGGTCGTCTTTACCTACGTTATTATACAACCTTGCTCCAGTTACACTAATCACTGTAAAAGTTAGTCATCAAATGAAAGCCTCGACTTTAAATTGTTAAACACCTTGGCCTTTGGTTTACCTTACAAACTTACGAATACCTTTCTGTAGCCCTAGGCATACAGTTGAAAAATTCACTGCGCTTGTTCTTAGCTTAAGTTTCAAAGAAATTATTGGTAAAATACTGCTCGATTTTTGCATTTTTGCGATTTTTGGTTTGAAGTATCACACTGATCCAGACTACCGAATGAAAAATTGTATTTTTAAAAAGTTTGACTTTGAAGTGGAACAACGACTCGGAACTTGATTTTATCTCACTACCTCACAAATACTTTTTTTGAAACGTAAAGCACTTGTGTTAACCATTAATTTTAAAACCTCTATAAAATGTCATCTTCAACTTGAATCTCCTGTCGGAGACAGCCAAACCAAATTTTCAGCCCGCAATTCCCTTGTCCTCCTCCGACGGAGCTTAAAATATTTTCGTTGTTGTGAAATCATTAAAGTTAAGCAAAATATTTTCATAAGAAGCATTAGTGAATTTCGTTAAATATTCAACTGTAATTTTTCAGAAGTTAAAAAACGTATTTCAATACTGATCAACAAATAAGTCACCCCCGACCATCCTTAAATAATTCGTAAGATTTTTTCTACTATTAACATTCATTATAACATTGTACAAGTAAACATGACCTATAATTTATGTTATTTTTTAGGAAATAAAGATTTTGTTATCAAATTTCTGAGACGGGGTTACTCTGTTGTGTGTGTATTTGTGCGGCCTATCGGGAAAGAATTGTCTGGGGATAATAAACATCCCCCACCAGAATCCTAACCGGCCTATTATCCTGATTTGTCTAGCGTGTTGCTGTTTTCCGTCAACAACTTGTTTTTAGATTTAGTTACGAGAAATTTGTCAAAATTCTCATAAAATTTTGCTTGAGAGCTTGCAACTTTTGAATCACTCTGGTAAAGGGCCGATCTCTCAGCAATTGAAACAATTGTTCAATAAGCGTTCAGACTGTAGATTAAGGGGCGCAACCTGGAGGGGGGGGGGGCGACCTTCCCTTGTACCCCCTGGAGAAAGGGAAAAATTTAAATTCTATGCTTTCATTTTAAAAGACACCCTGAAGTTGCGCTACAGTATATATATAGCTAACAGGCTGAAATAGAAGGAATATCGTACACGGGTTAAATGATCCTATTCTAGTGAGATTAATGTAACTCAACGCATTTAGAGATATAAATTAGTTTTAAGTGAATGCCATACAGAATTCACAAATAGCAACTGACAATTTGACAGAAATCTATTTTCTTTCTCGGTGAGCTGTATATTCATCGAATTTAGTATATAATGCTAGATAGAAAGTTTCTTTAGACCAAATTTTGAAATCTTCGCTAATCTCCATTTTTTTTAAATTCTTCTGTTCTAAAACTTTTACTCTGAATTTTGAATTTTTTAATCAATTATTTAGTTTCTCACAAATCCTGATAATTTGTTTTGTTCACAAGAGAACCTTGAGAAAACGAATCCTGAATTCTTTGCTAGAAGGGTCATAAAAGGGGAGGGAGGAATAAATGGAGAAAAGAAAGAAAAAAACCCAAGAAAAATGCGATTTTAAATTAAATTAACTTATTTGCAAGCAGACTAGTAATTTTAAAACAGAACTCAAACTCTAATTCTTTAATCCTTATATCGTTGAACCTGATGCCGTATAGCTCAGATATTTCAAACTGTAAATTATCTAACTGTAATTTGTAATTGCGTTTGAATTATTAAAGGTTTGCACCATGTATGTTGAAAAGACATAGACCTTATACGTTTAAAATTATTCAGAATAAACCGATAAAGAAATATTAATTCTAATTTTCTAATCCTCATAAACGTAACTTTATGTTGAACTCTTATATTTTTTATCTACTATAATAAAGAATGCTATTATTGAGAAGAACAAAAATGTTAATTTGCTGCTCTACAAGGTCACAAAGTCGTACCAGTGAAGTTCTGTAAACTGAAGTTTGAGCATATAGTCCTTATATATTTTAATCTTAAGTTAAATTCTGATAGATCTAATTGCAAACGTTTGAAATATTAAAGGTATACGCACCATCAGGTTGCAAAGACAGAGGCATTATAAAATTTTACTTTGAAATAAGTTTCTCAGTTACTTTAGAGTAATTTGGCTCAATAAGCCCGGAATTAAAGTTAAAAGAAAATCAATTTCGTTTAAGTTAATTTTAACTCAATGTTTTTTCTTTTACATTTACTGTTCAGTTTCGTTCCTAAATATATTTGAGAGATGAGATGAAAACTTTTAAATTAAGGATATCGAGATCAATGCTTAATCTCATCTTTTTATTCGGCTAAATAAATCAACAATCAGGAGGGCGTAATTGGAGAAACCCGAACCACCCTCGACTAAGCTTTCGGTGCGTTCTGTACACTGCTGTACACACTGAAGATATAGTAACGTAAAGTGGAGAGTGCAACAGTCAATCAGAAACCTGGAAATTTTGAAATTTTGGCGCGCAATTTATGAGAGTGCTCTCATTGGTCGTAACAAAGTAGTAATATTCAAAAGGAGAGAAGAAAATACCAATTAAGCAGAAATTAAAAGTGTCCACAGTGGATATTCAGATTAAGTGATTGGGATTAAGAGTATCTAATTCTAAGGTTCCAACTGTGATCTGAAAACTTTAGAATGGTGGATATCGAGATCAATGCTTGATCTCCTCTTTTTCTTAATCTCCAGATTTAATAATGCTTTTCTCCTCTTGTTATTAATCTTAAGATTAATTATCCGATCGCGAATAATATTCCATTTAAAAGTTTCCAGCTCTGATCATTTAATTTGTTCGACTAGGTCTGCTTCAGTTAGCCGAGAATTTGTTAGAATTTTAAAATCTTTAAAATAAAAATAAAGTTTTAAACTTGGAAATAACATAGTGTTGGCCTTGAAATCTATAACTCAGAGGCTTTTTGCCAAGGAAGTTTGTACTTTTTAACTCGAAATATTTACAATTAGACATCTAAATCAACTTAAAAAAAAGTCAAACATTTTACACTTATTGTTTCCTTATTGTTGCTTTCCAATGAAGCTAGATAGATATGTTTAAATTTTTAAAAGAGCTTATGTTATTTGTTATCAATTATCATCAATTATTAAAACATTTATTAAAAACTTAATTGCTGCCTGAAAACATAGGGAGAAAATCTTTATCGATCAAAAATCAATTGAAAATGTTTTTAACAAATGAAACAATGAAGGAAAATCTAAGATGGTAGGACGGTTTATGGTCCCCGGGAGAAATATATATAAAATATTAACTATATTCGAATGCGTCGAAAAAAAATCGATGATTATAGGTTGTAATATCTGATTGATTTGTTTGGAATAAAATTGATTTTTTTACGATCCGAGTCGAATATTGCAACTTTCTGAATTTGTATGGACGCTGCGTTCTTCGGTATGAGTCTTTTCTAACAATTTTCTCCTTCTAGACGCAACAGACAGAAATAATATTAATAGCAATCAACATTGAATATTTTTCGACGTAAGCCTTTAATTTTTAGCGAACACTCCCTTTAACAATTTAGAAATTTAGGAAAATCTGAGACGGTGGGACGGTTTATGGTCGCTGCCCGGGATATATCCCCTGGAGAGGTCATCTTCACGGACCAGCCTGCGGTCATCGGACCGGACAATAGTGCACTACCTATGTGCCTAGTTTGTTGGAGGTAAGCGTCATTTTCGCAAGTTGCGAAATTCGCCGATTTTGGTACTAAGACAAGTGCAAATAATATGCATTACGTAAAAAAGTGTGCAGATTGCGCCCTAAAGGCTTTGGAATTCCAGTTGAAAATCGAGTTGAAATCAGTTAGATAAGTGGGGTTTACTGCATGAAGTAAACTCACAATAAGACTGTGATAAATCGAGTTGAAATCAGTTAGATAAGTAACTTTCCATTTTTGTGGATATTGCGGTAAGTTTTTAGTTTGAGTCAAGTAGCTGGAGTGCAAGGATAAAAAATAAATTGAAAAATCTTCTAACGAAAGTAAAACTTATATTTGGAAAACTTTAATGATAATAAAAAGTGCAAAGAAAAGGAAAAACCATTTTTTTAAGGGACGTAGGCATAATTTAAAGGGACTGTAGGCATAATTTAAAGGGACTGTATGGAAATATCCGATTCACAACGGTACCCTTAAAAGCTTTAAGTATGAAATAGATATAGATATAGATATTTTTATAATTTGAAAACTGATTACTTACAATGTAGTGTCTCTACAAAAGTGACTTGCGCATTTTTAATCCAGGAAAACTTAAAGGAATTATCAAAATTAATCACTTTTAAACCTGGAAACACGGCAATTTCTGACACATTATTAATTAGATAAGTCACATGCAATTATGCTAACAGTCCCTTTCAACAAATGAAACAAAAATATTAACTTTTCTCAAACTTTCTTCGGAATTTTAACTTGAAAAAGCTAAATTCTTCTTTCAATTCATAAGCTTTAAAATCAAAATTTTTTGTGAAGTATGTTGCAACATAAAGTTCCGTTCCTGCAGCCCCCGTATTCTTTCTTGAACCTAGTAACCTTTAAATGTTACTGTCTGTTCCCATATAAAGCTAAAGGCTAAACTGCGGGAGAAAAACAAAAATAATAACATTTATGTTTTCTGTGTTTTATAAGATATTGAAGAGGGAATCTTCATAAACATTTTAATTTAGGTTTTAAGGGTTCTTAAATATGTTTAACGAGATGATCATTTTCTCATTTTCAGAAAAAAGTTATAAACGTAGGGTGTAATTGAAAAATGTATTATTTTAAGTGTAAATACCAGAGAATAAAAACGTCGTATAATAAAATGTTGGAAATCAATTAAAACTCCATTTTTTAGAATATCTTAATACGCAATATCAGATTAAAATGTGGCAAAAATGTACGTGAGAAAATATTTGACGGATTTCTGATCAATTTCGAAACATTTTTTGCTGGTCTAAGCAAAATTAAAAAAAGATATTTCAAATCATGAAATCTTACTTTAATGCAAATCCCCAAGTAAATGAACTGAGTTTTCTATGCAACCTGATGGTGTAAACCTTTGATCATTTAAACTAAGATTATTTAATCTAACAGTATTTATAGTTTGAAATATCTAAGGTCTACGACATTGGGTTGCAAAGATATAGTAATAAGAAAATCAGAGTTTGTGACAAAGACTTAATTTCCTTTACTTTTAATAAATGCAATGTAAAAAAATTAAGTCTCTTTGCGTGCTTTCAAATAACCCTTAAAAATAGATTTAGGACATTTATTATTTCTTATTCTGTATCAAAATGTCAAAATAAAGTTTCAATCCATTGTTTGCATATACTGCAGCCACGTTTGAATTATAGGAATTTTGTACGATACATTGTACAAAAAGGGTGTCCCAATAAACATGAAAGTCTAGAGACGACTTAAAATTAGTCTTTGATCGTAGAAATAATTCGTCAACCTTTGCTAATCTGACTCTCAAAACAATAATCATAAAATAATAAATACCGAATTATATATTTGCTAATTGATAACTGGATTGCAATTCATTAAATAAAGTAAAATAGCCTATATGGCCAATCTATATATAAATTTGGCTTATCTGTCTGTTTGTCTGTTTGTTTGTATCCAATAAACGTCAAAACGGCTAAACCGATCGGGCCCAAATTTTTTGTGGGACATAACGTGACCACAGGGAAGGTTTATGAATGATAAAAATTTAAAAAAAACGTGTTTAAAAGGTTTTTAATTTTGTAAAAAATTTAAATTCTTGAAAATCCGCGATTTTTTTTAAAAAATCCACTAAATTTTTTTCTTCTTTGTTTTAAAATGTAAACAAAAGAACATGTTCACAATTTAAATAGAAGATGGGCGCGAAGCGCCCTAAAAGCCTAGAAAGAAGAGCGCGAAGCGCCTTGAATTTCTAGTATCATTATATTTTGTTTTATACACAAAGAGGGGAAACCAAATGATGTAAAGCATAGGTCGTGCTAATCTTTTTTTAACACTTTGTAATAAGATCACTATAGTTTCAGTAGAAGTAAATATTTCCATTTACTAATAGCACCGATTGAAGGATTCATAACTCTAATTGGATAGATAGAACTCTAATGGGATAGATAGAAAAATAGATGTTACAGCCATACTATTTCTATTGGTTCTGAATATACAACAAACATATGACTGAACCCTGATTGGATCAGGCACTAATGGACTCGGCATACAGGAGTGAAGATAGGTATCAAAGATCAAAGGCGATCTTTGAGTCTTCCCTCTACTATCATGTTTATTGGGAAATCTACCGAAATCACATATATACAGATTAATCACTGTGTGCAGGAAAATAATGAGCTACTACACATGTCCGGGTTGTGGCTGGCCACTGTGCGGTGAGAAGTGTCGGGACACAAAATCTCATCAACGGGAGTGCTCATTCTTCCAGGTAGTAACTAATCAAGAACAGTGCTCATTCTTCCAGGTAGTAACTAATCTCCAACAGTTCTCATTCTTCCAGGTAGTAACTAATAAATAACAGTGTTCATTCTTCCAGGTAGAAACTAATCAACAACAGTGCTCATTCTTCAAGGTAATAAACAATCAACAACAGTGCTCATTCTTCCGGGTAGATACTAATCAACAACAGTGCTCATTCTTCTAGCTAGATACTAATCAACAACAATTCTCATTCTTCCAGGTAGAAACTAATTAACAACAGTGCTCATTCTTCCAGGTAATAAACAATCGACGACAGTGCTCATTCTTCCAGGTAGGAACTAATTAATGGCCTAGCGTACATTCATCCAGCATGATATAAGAAAAAACTACAACAATTATCACTCAGAGCGAATAAAAAAATTACTATTTAAAAATTTTAATTTTTAGGAGCGTGGAAAAAAGGTTGAAATTAGTGGATTTGGAAAGCCTAACAGGTAACTAAGATGAACGAATCAAAAACAACGAAAAATGAAAATTTTAAATTTTAAAAAACTTTTTTTTTGACATTTAAAAAAGTATCAATTAATATTTTTTTAAGAATATACGATGCTGTGCTGCCCCTTCGTATTCTTCTCCTCAAACTGTCAGATCCGGTGAGATTTTAAAAATAATAATCAAAATATGTTTGTAGAGTAATATATTATCAACAGTGCTGTAATACGTAACATGATTGCCTTAATCATGTGCTATAGATAATGACGTAGGAATTGTAATTACGTCTATTAACTTTAGCTTGTAACATATAAACTGAAAATACACTAGTTGATATAGTAACTCCGTACTGTTTACTGCGAGAAAGGAATCATTCCCTGTTCTAACGAACAGGTTGAGGATCGTCCCCTCTTAATTTGGAATCGATAATCACGAGCTCGTTTAAACACACGGGCTGAGATCATACCTTGGTATTTTGTAAAGATCAATTAAGAGCTTGCTCGATAGCCATGCTTGTGTCCCTGTGTGATATTTAGAGCTTAACTAAAAGCTTGTTTAATAGCTACGCTTGTGTCCCTGCTGTGTGACATTTAAAGCTTGATAAATAGTTTGTTTGATAGCTACGCGTGTGTCTCTGTGTGACATTTAGAGCTCGATTAATAGCTTGTTGGATAGCTACGCTTGTGTCCCTGTGTGGCATTTAGAGCTTGATTATTAGCTAGTGTCTGTATTAACACCGATAGCTAACGAGATCGCGCCCAGTGGTAGTGGCGTTGATAGTTCACGGGATTGTGACCGTTTGGATCGTGTCCCGGTTAACTTTGATAGCGGATGGGTTGTACCTGGATAGATATATTCAGAGGACGTTATGGAGTAGGTGTTTACTACAAGGTATCGACTAACCTGTTTGTTAATGGGTCCCTTATTAATGTATCCCCCTGTACAGAGGGTGTATCTATGTATAATGTTTTCCCCTGTATAGAGGGTGTATCTATGTATAATGTATCCCCCTGTATAGAGGGTGTATCTATGTATAATGTATCCCCCTGTATAGAGGGTGTATCTATGTTTAATATATCCCCCTGTACAAAGGTTGTATCTATGTTTAATATATCCCCCTGTACAGAGGGTGTATCTATGTTTAATGTATCCCCCTGTATAGAGGGTGTATCTATGTTTAATGTATCCCCCTGTATAGAGGGTTTATCTATGTTTAATATATCCCCCTGTATAAAGGGTGTATCTATGTTTAATATATCCCCCTGTACAGAGGGTGTTTCTATGTTTAATGTATCCCCCTGTATAGAGAGTGTATCTATGTTTAATGTATCCCCCTGTACAGAGGGTGTATCTATGTTTAATGTATCCCCCTGTATAGAGGGTGTATCTATTTTTAATGTATCCCCCTGTATAGAGGGTGTATCTATGTTTAATGTATCCCCCTGTATAGAGGGTGTATCTCTATGTTTAATGTATCCCCCTGTACAGAGGGTGTATCTATGTTTAATGTATCCCCCTGTACAGAGGGTGTATCTATGTTTAATGTATCCCCCTGTAAAGAGGGTGTATCTATGTTTAATGTATCCCCCTGTACAGAGGGTATATCGGCTAGTCTGTTTATTAATGGATCATCACGAAGACCAATCAAATTCTCAAAAGAAACGATTCCAGGTAAAAATATTAATATTTAGACATGATCATTTTAATTTTATTATTGGATTTTATGTTATCATTATTATTTATGAAAACTTTCATTTTTGTTATTGTGTAGACGATGTAGGATTTTGATGGACTCTTCTATCTTTAAACTTTAACGAACGATATCAGATTTTGATGGGGTTCACCCTGCACTATTCTAAACTTTATTATAGACGATATCAGACTTTGATGGGGTTCACTCTGTACTATTCTAAACTTTATTATAGACGATATCAGACTTTGATGGGGTTCACTCTGTACTATTCTAAACTTTATTATAGACGATATCAGACTTTGATGGGGTTCACTCTGTACTATTCTAAACTTTATTTTAGACAATATCAGACTTTGATGGGGTTCACCCTGCACTATTCTTAAATGTTTAGGTGATATCAGACCTGATCAGAAATTCCTGGGGGTTTAACAGAGATTTTTCTAACTCCGAGGAAACCGTCTTTAAAAAACGGATTTTAAGTCTACAAAATAATGAATTTTAAGTCTACAAAATAATGAATTTTAAGTCTACAAAATAATGAATTTTAAGTCTACAAAATAATGAAATTTAAGTCTACAAAATAATGAATTTTAAGTCTACAAAAAAAGGAAGTATTCATCTTATTTCAAGTGACCATCCATATATAAAGAGATATAACTTCACTAATGCCCTTTAAAATATATTTAAAAGTACAAGTGATTCCATACAGTATAGAATAAAATGTGAGAAAAGGATTAATATAACTTTTAGTATTGAGTACACATAGATTCATCCTGCTTATAAACAGACTCATCAATTATAAAGACAGGGTCGACTTTGAAGTGTCGCAACGCCTTTGGTTTAGATTTTACTGCTCATACTCACTTATGCCTTAATCCAGTCCTTTGTACATTTTAGCACTACTTGAAGTTAGCTTTTCAAGTTGTAAGAAGTAATTGGCAAAATTCTCATTTTGGCTTGAGAGCGTGAGACCTTTAAATCACAGTGAGTATGACTTAAAGAGACTGTATTCAATTTAAACCCTGCATAAAAAGATGGAATTGTCCAATTTGCACTTTTCTGCACTTAAACACTTTTCATCCTAAAAAAACGACAGCATGGATCAGATAAAGGTTTTAAGGGTGGTCACTTGACATTTCGCTTACAGTTCCTTTAATGTGGTGCAAACTGCAAAGTTTTATATAAAATATAAGTTATAATTATAAAATATTCCACTCATACATTTCTACCAAAACTTATTTCAATTAATAATTTAAGACTAGACAACCTATTTCATACAACTTAGTGGGTATTTTAGCAAAAAAACAAAAAAAAATTGCACGGGAAAATTTTTATCCGAAAACCTTTAAAAGAGAAGAAGAAATTGGTCGATTTTGTCATAGTGCGGAGCATATTAATATATATTTATTAAAATTTAGATTTCTCAAATTTATTCTTGGACATTTTTGTAACCAGTGTCCGAATTTAATGAATCTTAAGCCGCGTCTTAAATCCACCAAAAACCGGTTTTAATTGACCGCTGGCTTAAATCTTGAAAAAATTAATACAAATTTAAGTGGAACCAACCATATTTGAGCCGCGTCTTGAATTTAAAAGGCGGCTCAAATTCTTTAAATTCGACCTCAAAGCGGTTACAAAGAGAAAATCTTAAAATCCAATGAAATCACTACCTTGGACTGATTTTGTAAATAAACAAAAGTTTCAATCAGTGTTAGAATTTAATGAATTTGAGCCGCGTCTATAATCCGCCAAAAATCGGTTTAAATTGAGCGCCGGCTTAAATCTTAAAACAATGAATACGATTTTAAGTAAAACCAATAAGCCGCGGCTCAAATTCTTTAAATTCGGCCTTAGGATGATCCAAGAAGAAGTGAATAAGGGGAGCAACTAAAATCATTCCAAAAAGCTTGAAACATGCTTTCGTTCGTTCTTGAAGGAATATTTCACGCACCTTAACGTTGGTTTATTTCATACAAAATGAACATTTTTTCTCTCAAAACCCTTCCAAAAATAGAAAAATCCTTAAAAATGCGAATACAACTGAAACGTGCAAAAATTGAACGCGTTAAAGACTGATTAATCAGGTTAAGCACGTTCTTGGAATACTGTCGGTCAACTCCTTTGTAGTTCACGACGGAGCAGAGGACGGGATGGATCTCATTGGTAAAAACATGACTTTATATTTAAATCATTTTCATGTTTTAATAGTTAAGTTATCAATGTTATATAGAAAAGGGTTAGGGTTAAAAGTCTTAATATCCTTTTAAAATGACTCAAAATGAGCTCCGGTGCATAGTTTCAAATCTTAGAAGGGTTTTTTTAAAGTAATTTTTGGTCGCTAGATTTAACTAAGTTATTAATGTCAATATATAAACATTATAACTGTGTACAGGACCAGGAGTAAAATATAAATGTCAATATATAAACATTATAACTGTGTACAGGACCAGGAGTAAAATATTAATGTCAATATATAAACATTATAACTGTGTACAGGGCCAGGAGTAAAATAATAATGTCAATATATAAACATTATAACTGTTTATAGGACCAGGAGTAAAATATATAAACATTGTAACTGTGTACAGGACCAGGAGTAAAATATATAAACATTATAACTGTGTACAGGACCAGGAGTAAAATAAATAAACATTATAACTGTGTACAGGACCATGAGTAAAATATATAAACATTATAACTGTGTACAGGGCCAGGAGTAAAATATTAATGTCAATATATAAACATTATAACTGTGTACAGGGCCAGGAGTAAAATATATAAACATTATAACTGTGTACAGGGTCAGGAGTAAAATATTAATGTCAATATATAAACATTATAACTGTGTACAGGACCAGGAGTAAAATATAAATGTCAATATATAAACATTTTAACTGTGTACAGGACCAGGAGTAAAATATATAAACATTATAACTGTGTTCAGGGCCAAGAGTAAAATAAAAGTTTTGATTAGTGTCACAATCATTATTTTTCTTTGTCTAAATCACTTTTTGGTTTATATCTTGTAGATATAATCTTTATTTTTGTATTTTTGTGTTTAGGATTGAATAGTATCTGTGTTAACCCTATTCTCGTTTACCCAAAATAGAAGGGGGGGGGGGTTGTGATACAAATGAATAACATTTGATACGTTTTTGGAAATTCCTTGGGCCATTCTTTAGTAATCTGCCACAAAATCGCAAATTTGCAAAAATGAAGCTATTTATTGCGAAATCTAGTTATTTAGCAAAAAATGTGCAAAAACACAAATTGCGCAAAATGCGACAAATCATACATTTTTAAAAAGCCTTTTATCCAGCAACTTTAAATCTGAATTTTTAAAAAAAACCTAGATAGGTATTTAAGAAAACTGAAAACGTGCAAATTCCCTATAAAGGCACCTAGCTGTGCAAAAATAATTTGCAAGGTTTCTTTGCAAAAGTTGTGCAATATGCTTGCTTTTCTTGTATGCTTTCCAAGGAGCTATATATTGTTAAAATCCAATGACGGAAAACGAAGGTCCAAATATAGATTTAGTCTGGTATAGGTATGTAGGTAAAATAAGGCATTTAGGACGTATAACTAAGGACTCAGGAAGTAGGTATAAAAGCCCAGCTTTCAGTTTTGAATAGGGGACATGCATTAGTTAGAAAAGCCGGAAATTTGGGGCTGATCCTTGCTCAAATACTTTTCGAGTTCTCGCAAAAAAACGATGGGGGTGGGGTCATAACCCTCCTGAGTCGGATGGGTTAAGGATTATACCCATTTACCTGTATATGTACTTTATGTACTTTATGTTCGGGATTATATCCATACATCTGAATTTTTATGTACTCTATGTTTAGGATTGTATCCATGTATCAGTACTATATATTTATATACTCTATGTTTAGGATTATATCCATACAACTGTATATTTATATCAAAGATAATATGTATATATAGATATGCAGGCAGGTAGAAACCTCCTTCCTAAATTGCCTGTAGCAGACAACTAATTTTTGAACCTCTGAGAGAAGGTGCAAGGAGAGACATCTATAGCAAATTGATTACTTTCTATCTTCCTTTCTCCACTTGCTGCCATCTGTAGGAAATACGCATTTGTGTTATATAAACATACAGTACGCGTATTGCATCCTGTAAAGTTCAAGTGTTCCTATCTGGACCTGTTTGACCAATAAAATTCAATTTCAAGGTAACACAAACATACAGTACGCGTTTTGTTTATGTTATCAGATCAGTTGTAATTTGTCCTAGACTCGATGTACTTTTATAGTCATAATTTTTATTTAAACTGCGTTAATTTACGTATGCCATTCAGTACAACTTGCACATTTAAACTTTGTCTACTCAAATTCCTACCTCAGTTTTATTTGCATTGATTAATTTGTTTCATTAAGTACAATATGCAGTATACATTGTTGATACTATAGTACGCATTTAGTGTTATCACGCATAAACGAAGTGATAAATTAGCAACAATCCAGAGGATAAAATGCCATGCATACGACAGAGATGGTGCTGTTTGCACCTTTTCTCAAGACCTCAAAATTTATACCTGCCTGCATATCTATATATATATTATCTTTGATTTATATACTCTATGTGTAGGATTATATCCAAGCAACTTTATATTTATATATATATACTCTATGTGTAGGATTATATCCATGCAACTGTATATTTATATACTCTATATGTAGGATTATATCCAAGCAACTGTATATTTATATATATATACTCTATGTGTAGGATTATATCCAAGCAACTTTATATTTATATACTCTATGTGTAGGATTATATCCAAGCAACTGTATATTTATATACTCTATATTTAGGATTATATCCATGCAACTGTATATTTATAAACTCTATGTTTAGGATTATATCCAAGCAACTGTATATTTATATACTCTATATTTAGGATTATATCCAAGCAACTGTATATTTATATACTCTATGTTTAGGATTATATCCATGCAACTGTATATTTATATACTCTATGTTTAGGATTATATCCATGTAACTGTATATTTATATACTCTATGTTTAGGATTATATCCATGGACTAGTTTGATGTCTCACGCTTGTATTCCAAACGTTAAAATTATTACCAGGCAAGTAAATTTAATATTTTTTGCAAAAAGTTTTTTTAAGAATATAATGTATTTTGTACATTAGCTGTGCAGTGTGAACATTTGAACTGGTCAATATTTCCATTAGAATCTATATGAATCTTTTATTACCAACTAGAAATTAAGACCTCCCACACTTACATGAACGAGATTATATAAATTTTACGAACTGTCTGTTTAAACCGCACATTTGTTCTGTCTCCTACTGATTGGGGTTTTTAAAGTTGTAACTTGTTTCTATAAGCCTTCTTGTAGCATATTCTGTTGTAATGTCATGTCCAGTATGATCCTTATTATCTATGTTAGTAATATATCTTATCTATTTCAATGTTGACCCTGACTGTCCATTACGGTCAGTTTTGATTTTAACTGTATATAAAATAAAGGAGTTGAATACGAATTGTTGATTAACACGAACGTATACAGAGCCTTGAGTTTTGGCTAGAGATAGAGTCAATTAGATTCTAACTCGACTTTGAGTGTAGTTATCGTTGAGTTATCTCGGGGCTAGATTTCTTACATTCTTACTATTTCAGAGAGTTTTCTGGTTATCACTAGCTGTGTAAATATGTAACATCACATTTTCCGAATTGATTTTGTTTGATTTAATAACGATAATAAAATTCCTCAAATGATAATTTTGTAAACACAACGATTTTGCGCTCCTTTCCTGTAAATAATTTGAACTTTAAACTGTTGCTCTGAAAGTCGTCCATTTTAAATCATTTTCAAATTTTGGCAGATTTTTCTTTTCGAATTGGCGCAGAATTTTTTTTTCCGATTTTGATTTTCCATAAACCCTCCTTGGGATCATGTGAGGTCCCACACAAAATCTGTGCCGGATCGGTTCAGCCGTTTTGACGTATTGTATATAAACTGACAGACAAACGAAAAAAACTAACAAACAGACACCCAGACAAGCAAAGTATATATATGTATCGTCTCATGTAAAATCTTCGATTTATTATTTAAATATTTAAATTGAGTGGAGGATAGAAGAACAATGAGTTAACATTTTTGTAAAATACCTTATGATATATCATTACAGCACACATTTCTTAAAGAAGCAGGATGAAGAAATGACAGGGTTAGCGTTGATTATTTTATCATGTTTTGAGTATACTGCACTATACCTTAGTGTACTGTAGTATACTGCACTATACCTTAGTGAACTGTAGTATACTGCACTATACCTTAGTGAAATGTAGTGTACTGCACTATACCTTAGTGAACTGTAGTGTACTGCACTATAACTTTGTGAACTTTATTACTGTATGAAAAGATTGCAACTCTTCTAATCTAAACTACTATGAATCTGTCTCATACTAAATCTATCTTTGATAAAACTTGAATAATAAGTACCTTTAAAAACACGTGTATTTTAGTATAGTTGGTTGTAGAATACAGACTCATGCATTAATGGGTTGAGAACCCTTTTATACCCAGTGCGCTTCAGTCAGGCCGCCTATCGGTAAAAAAGGGTTCTCCCCAAACTTGAATAAACAAAAAGTATAGTTTAAAAAATCACAAGAAAAAAAAGATATATACATATACTGTGGTAGTTCCATGTTGTTGCAGCATGTATTGTACTTTACTTATACTGCACTATACCTTATTACTGTATCGTTCTGTATTGTACCGTACTGTACTGTATTGTACTGTACTGTACTGTACTGTACTGTTCTGTACTGTACTGCACTGTACTGTACTGTACTGCACTGTACTGTACTGTACTGTACTGTACTGTACTGTACTGTACTGCACTGTACTGTACTGTACTGTACTGTACTGTACTGTACTGTACTGTACTGTAGTGTACTGTACTTTACTATCTGTAATGTACTTCATTGTACTATGCTCTTCTGTTCTGTTATGTTCTATGTTCTGTAGTGTACTGTACTTTACTAATGGTAATGTACTGCCCTGTACTATGCTATTCTTTTCTGTTATGTTCTATGTTCTGTAGTGTACTGTACTTTACTAATGGTAATGTACTGCCCTGTACTATACTATTCTATTCTGTTCTGTTCTATGTTTTGCAGTGTACTGTCTGCTGTTCATGCACTTATCTGTTTTACAGATACTCATTTTTTTTATGCATTTATCACGGTGGACTAAGCCAGTGGGATCGGTCAAATAGGCCTAGGATTAGGCCCCTGTCGTTTGCTAGTCTGGGTAGGGCGACGTACTGTACAGAATATGGTCAAGAATCGGCTACCATAGTATCGGGTCAGTACACGCTGTTATCTGGCAGGCCGGTACAAACTGGGCAGGTCCTGTTCGAATTCAAATTTACTACGGCCCAGAGTGTTATAGTTTAAATTCAATAAATGGAAAGAAATTGGCAATATTTCTAAAATTGTTATTATTCACCAATAAAGAATAACAATATTTTAGGGATGATTTCTCGTATGTTTGTGAGGCGACTGTACCTATAGCTGCAGGATCGGAGATTGTAACCTCATATCATCATTATTACTTCCATCTCTTTGGTACAATGTACAGGTATAAACTATAAAGTAGAACACAAAAAGAAAGGGTGTAAGAATAATCAGAGTTAGTGATCTTTAAATGTTTTTTTTTCAGACAAATTTATGAAAATAGCGTAAGTGCAAAAACATAAAGGAAGATTTTCTGAGATTATTGATTTGTTGATTCAAATATTTTAGAAATGTATACTTACAGATTTAATAATTTAATGATTTTTTGCTAACCGTTTCGGCAGATTTTGTTTACGTAAACTATGGATTAGAGTTTGCGTAAGCTTTAGATTAGGGTTTTCGTAAACTATAGATTAGAGTTTGCGTAAACTATAGATTAGAGTTTGCATAAACTAAAGATTAGAGTTTGCGTACACTATAGATTAGAGTTTGCATAAACTATAGATTAGAGTTTGCGTACACTATAGATTAGAGTTTGCGTAAACTATAATTTAGAGTTTGCGTTTACTATAGAGAAGAGTTTGCGTAAACTATAGATTAGACTTTGCATAAACTATAGAGAAGAGTTTGCGTAAACTATAGATTATAGTTTTCGTAAACTATAGATTAGAGTTTGCGTAAACTATAAAGAAGAGTTTGCGCAAACTATAGATTAGAGTTTGCGTAAACTTGCGTAACCTATAGGTTAGATTTTGCGTAAACTTGCGTAAACCATGGATTAGAGTTTGCGTAATGTTGCAGGAGATTAGATATTAAGAAAACTTGGAGTTTTGATTGTATTTGTCAACGCTGTCAGGACAAAACAGAATCAGGGACAATCATCATTTATTATAATTTGTAACAACAATTTTTATATGTTTTACATTTTATGTAAAGAGTTTGTTTACATTTTCATAGCATCCTAGAGAAGACAAAAAAATAATTAAAAAAATACAAAAGCTTAAATTTCAATTTTGTTTTCATATTTTCATAATATTTTTTTCGCCATAATTAGTTCATTACAGTTTAGTTAATTATCTCAATATTTAAGATTTCATAAACCAAAACTAATTAAAATTTTAACTAAAAACGATATAATCAAAAACCATTTTTCAGAAAATTTTAAATACTAGCCTTAGAGGGCGCTTCGCGCCCATCTTCTAAATTAATTGTGAACATGTTCTCTTTGTGTACATCGTAAAACAAAACAAAAATAGTTCGCAAAAAATTCCGTGGATTTTCAAAATTTTCAAAAATTTAATGAAGATCGAATTTTGATAGAGACACATATTTGAAATTTTGATCATTTATAAACCTTCCCTGGGGTCCCTAGAATTTGGGCCCGATCGGTTCAGCCGTTTTGACGTTTATTGGATACAAACAAACAGACAAACAAACAGACAAGCCAAATTTATATATAGAAGGTGGAATTTTTTCTTGGAATTACATACACCAGCAACTAAATTTTCAAATGGAATTTTCAAAGTTTGAACTTTTTAAATTTTTTAATTTTTATGGAATACCCTTTATTGCATGGGAAGTTTTTTAACATTTTTATTTAGAAATTGAAATTCGTGGAACTAGAAAAAGAAAGATTTGTATTATTTATTTAAAGAAGTTGGTATAAAAAGCTACTTTAAAGCTCTAAATATTTAATCAATGCTAAAATAATGCAGCGACAATTGGAAATTTTTTTAAAGAAACTTGGAACTTAATCAAAATTTTGTTTTCCTTCAAAGAAATGCAAAACTCACTGTATTTAGAAAATTACTTTTCAATCGAAATATATCTTTTTTTAATAGCCCGTTTGAAGATGGTTTAAGAAAAATGAATAGAGAAGAAAAAAATCATTTATAACATATAATATCATTCTTGTCTGTTTGTCTGTTTGTTTGTTTGCTCGAAACGGCTAAAATATTTTGCCCTCTTTTTTAGGAACTGTGATGGCTCCAGGGGTGGTTTATATAGCTTGCCACTTTATGAAAAATTACCCAACAAATTTTTTTTGTAAATTTTGAAAATGTACAAAGTAACAAACGATTTGACTCATATCGTTCATTTTACAGGGGTTGGAACTTGAAGTATACATTTTAAAAAAAGCACAGACCAAGCCATAGGATATTGCAAAATCGGTTTGCCTTGAACAAATTGAGCCTACATGCAACAACTGAAAAATTCCCTGTTTTTTCGACTTAATCTAATTTTTACTCTTAAATTTGTACCCCCCCCCCCATTGAAAATAAAATTTCGCCCTCCCATGACAAAAGTGCTAGTTACACCCCTGTAATTTGAAAAGCGGATTTAAAAGCTGTTTATATCAACATTTTAAACTAAAGAAATATAAATTTTTTGCTTTTTCTCTCTTATTCTGTTATTTTGTGAAGTTTAAAAATCTTAGCTTATATATATTATGTAACCCATCTACTGGTTTAGAAGGGGGGATATCAACAACACCTGGAGTTTTGACTGCGTCTGCTCAAGGTGCAAGGATAGTACTGAGCAAGGAAAGTAATTCATATCAAGGGTTCTACTAACTCTTTATTTGATACAAATATTAAATAAAATGTATTCTACATCGTTCATATTATCTAAAGAAGGCGGGCAATTGTCCATATCATCTAGAAAAGGCTGGATATTGTTCATATTATCTAAAAAAGGCGGACAATTGTTCAAATTTTCTGAAAAAGGCGGGCAATTGTTCATATTATCTGAAAAAACCGAGAAATTGTTCAAATTTTCTGAAAAAACCGGGCAGTGGTTCATATTATCTAAAAAAGGCGGGCAATTGTTCAAATTATCTAGAAAAACCGGGCAATTGTTCATATTATCTAGAAAAACCGGGCCATTGTTCATATTATCTAGAATAACCGGGCAATTGTTCATATTATCGAGAAAAACCGGGAAATTGTTGAAATTATCTAAAAAAAAACCGGGCAATTGTTCATATTATCAAAAAAAAGGCAGTCAATTGTTCAAATTATCTAGAAAACCGGGCAATTGTTAATATTATCTAAAAAAGGCGGGCAATTGTTCAAATTATCTAGAAAAACCGGGCAATTGTTCATATTATCTAAAAATGGCAGGCAATTGTTCAAATTATCCAGAAAAACCGGGCAATTGTTCATATTATCTAAAAATGGCAGGCAATTGTTCAAATTATCCAGAAAAACCGGGCAATTGTTCATATTATCTAGAAAAACTGGGTAACTGTTTATATTATCTGAAAATAACGGGCAATTGTTCATGTTATCTAAAAAAGGCGGGCAATTGTTCAAATTATTTAGAAAAACTGGGCAACTGTTTATATTATCTGAAAAAAAACCGAGCAATTGTTCAAATTATCTAGAAATAGGGGGAAATTTAATAATATTATTTATAAAAAGGGTAAAATTAATGATGAGTGTAAAATCAAATGATTATATAGTATTAGTAATGATATATGATAAATTTTATAACTTGAATTTTGATTGAGTATAAGATTGAGTGAACATTTTTAAGTTCAAACCAATTTTGATTTAGCAGTGATTCATGTAAAGAAATATATTCCGTTCTTATTTGTCAAAACTACGTTCTTGTTTATGTAGCTAACATCCACTTATTTCATTTAATTACATTTCTAAGAAGAAAATAAAAGAGAAATCTTAGAGATTTTTCCATGAAAGGTAAAAATATAGAAATAGAAAATATAAGCGGATAAAATAATAATAAAACTTAAACGCAAATTTTGGACACTTTGCACACAAACAGACAAGAGTAAAACAGATTTATAATATTTGAAAAATATGATGGTTTGAGCCTGCAGGAACCTTTGTATCTGGGGTTAACTGTGATGCTTGCAAATATTCTTACCTCCTTCCTACCCAACCCCTGCAGTACAATTCAGACTGGTCTTGCTTAGACTGCAACCATACACTGCCAGGCCAGGTACGGTACCATCTACGTCCACAAACTGCCAGTCCAGGTTAAGTACTGTTAAATATGCCCAAATTTACGTAAATCAACTGCTCATTACTAATAATATTCCGAGAGACGGTTTACAATTTATTATTACTTTATACAAACAAAATCAAAATATACTATACGATCGAGTAGCGAAAATGAGGTAGAATACGGTTGAGATATTATAGAACCAATTTGCCTCCGCTCATCGAAAGGGTTCACAACGAACTGCCCCATCTGTAAGCATTTGTTTGACCCTCCATCTCCCGCTAGGGTTCCATCCCTAGCACCTTGGCTCGGCGGGTCAATACCCCTGGCACAAACGCTACCCTGAGATAAGGGATGGCGTCGCTTGATCTATTTATAACTCGGCTTCGCTTGGTCTAAAAATAACTGCAAACTTAGCTTTGATATATACACTCTAGGTTTATATTTCCATCCATAAAAATGATCGCAACGATCCTAAAAGCCGATAATCGCTAAAAGATCAACAAATATCGTACCATCATTACAGTACGACAGCTTCTGTACACTGCCCGGCCAGGTAAAGTACGGTCTGCATTTACTGACAGTCTGGCCAGGTACAGTACAGTCTGCATCCACACACTGCCCGGCCAGGTACAGTACCATCTACGTCCAGGTTAAGTACGACATCTTCTATACAATGCCCGGCCAGGTAAAGTACGGTCTGTTTTTACTGAGAGTCTGGCCAGGTACATTATGGTCTGCATCTACACACTGCTCGGCCAGGTACAGTACAGTCTGCATCCACAGACTGACCGGCTAGCTACACTTTTTACCTTTTTAAGTTAAATACACCCATGTTTAGGATTTAAATCCAAGCCATGGTTTAGCCATACCGGAGAAATAAGTTAAACTTGGATCCACTTCGTAGTAGTTATAGTTTTATGTTCTCTAGGTAATCTCTGAAAGATTAGATATAGTTTTTTGTTCTCCAGGTTATCTCTGAAAGATTGGATAAGCTAGAACTTGAGATTGAAAGCGTGCCCAAGAACGAACCTGAGAGATTGGAAAACCTTCTCAGGAGAATGAGGTAAATCTTTTAAATATTAAGATTAATATTTTTGATTTTTGATAAAAACTAGCTCTAGACACTTTCTTTATATTTTAGATATGTTCTCCACGAAAATCATTATTTGATAACTGACACGAAGAGAAAGCTGATAGGAAAACTTTTAATTAAAAAATAAAAAAATTCGTTTAATTTTGTAATTTATTAGAAATTTAACCTTTTTTCCCATTAGTTAAATGAAAGTTCTTCAGATATTTACGGACACAAACCCGGCTTTGAATTGGAAAAGGTAACATTAATAGCTCACATCATCCAGACAGAACAAACACTAGGTGGAGAGAATATCAGAAATATGTAGACGACATTTTAAAATGATTTTCTTTATTATTCCTGCGAGGTGGGGTAAGCATTTCAGTTAAACTATGCGAGGTGGGGAAACCAATTTTGATATGAGCCACTTTTAAGAAAATTGAAATTGTTAATTTAGAGAATATAAATAAACAAAAATAAAAAAACCAATTTATTTAAAGATTATATTATAAATTATAACAATTTAAACGCTTTTGAACTAAAGATGATATGAAAACCAAAAAAGGCCATATTTACACATTTGGTAGTTTTTGGTTTAACTGAAGATATTTAATAACACAATTTCCTTACCTATCATCATGCATGGAAATGCATTACATAAATTATCAAGTGATTATTGATTTTAATACAAAAGTAAGAATTATAACTACTATAAGAAAATAAACTTACTCGTGAGTCAGTTCAAAATTCATTCCTGAAGATGCTTATCTGCATTCTTAGCATTTCTTCTATTTTAAAACATAAAACAGAATAAAAAAATAAAATAAAAAATAAGCAAAATAATACAGTATTCTGTAAACATTTACATTATAAAGCGACACAACTGTTTAATGCAAGGGGTACAAATACAGGGTGTCCCACATCATATTAGACCGAGAACGGGTCTAAATTACGATTTTCGGGACTAATTAGAAAATTTAATTAGAATGAATCATTTTGAAAAATAATATAAGGCTTATATAAGAATTTTCTTGCGGAAAATTATAAGTTTTTCGAGTGTTAAGGGTTTATTTGGGTGTTAAAGATTGGAGATAATCTAATATGATATGGGACGCTCTGTATGTTTCCTTTTGGCTTCAATGCACTTATAGAATGTCGTCTTCTAAATATATTCGAGCTGGTTTTGGTCCAGTCTGGATAAAAAGTTTTCTTAGATTTAAACTAAATTTTAAAGATCTGAATTTTCAACATTGAATCAAAAAAGTGAGACTGGAGAAAAAATGAAACGCATATCTTTCGGAATCTTATTTTATCTCTTTTTTAGTTGAGCAAGGAGATTTTGGAGAAAAAAATAGATTACTGTGATCACCTTTTATCTTTAGGAAAATATTAAAATATCTTAAAAAATTAAGTTATAAAAGAACTGTAGAGGTAATTTCTCCAAGGAGCATAATTTCCTTCTGCTTCTCTTTGAACCTTCACTGAACAACAACGAGAAAGCTATGACCATTTTCTATCTGAAAAATTAAACAATTTAAAATTTTCCTTTTATTTTTGTTGTAAGATTCCGCAAGTCACTTTTATATTGAACTTACAATGAAAAATGATCAATTTTAACCTAAGATATCTTATCTCATTCATCTTTAATTTAATAAATGTTTAAAGGATAAATTCGGACATGCCAATTTTTCAGGGTCACTTAGAATCACATATACAGTCCCTTTATTAGCAATATATTTGACGCTAACAATATTCAACTGTTGAATAAAATCTACAAAACCCAATGTTCGCAAACGCACTATTGGACTTTTAAAATACATAGTTTTTAGAAAAATAAAAAACTTTAAAAAAAAAATATTTTTGGTATGTTTAGCTTCTCGTCTCTCTCCTGGACAGTCTGAGATGAAAGGGTATTATTATTACACTTCCTTAATTATAGATTTTTCGTAAGATTATTGGGACAAAAAGAATCAGAGCTGGTAACAAAAAGATAAAAGAGTTCCATATCTTCATCTTATAGTTATTTCTCCCCTTGATCAAAGCTCCCTTCGTCCCCTGACTGAATAGAATCACCATGCGGTAAATCCAATAAATATTTAATAAATCTGCAGATTAACAAAAGATCAAGATCAAGCATTGATCTCAATATCCACAAGATCAATCTCACTAGCACTGCAAACCAAGATGTGCACGCTCTTACGCTAAAATCGAACAGTATTTTACCAATAACTTCGTCTAAGCTCGAAATATAAACAAGCGCGTTGCATTTTTAAAATGTGTATGCCTAAGGCTACAGAAAAGTATGAGTAAGTTTGTGAGGTAACTCAAAGGCCAAGCCAATGCATTGCGACACCTTAAAGTCAAGGATGCCTGAACATTTGATGCGAACTTTCAGAGTTGTCCATATGTCCATATGTTTATACAGTAAATCCCAGATATATGAATACATAGCAAGAGTTTTTTTATAATGTATAATTCCAAAGAAACTTCTTTTTATTTTTAATTCAAGGTAAATTAATAGCCCTGAAATATAAATGCAATTTATATATTAATATTAAACTTATTTTTCCGCGGCAATTGATCTTAAATATGTAATACGACATTATAAACAACTCTTGCTATGTATTCATAAATCTGGGATTCATCTGTATCATATCCAAGGACTCTTAGAAAATCTCTGAGTATGACTTATTTGTGTTCCTAATTCCAAAAAGGTATGAATATCATGTGTATCTTAAAGGGAGAGTTTGGGAAAATGAAAGAGGGTAATTTTACTTTTCTTTTTTACATATATAGGGAGATAATGGTTAAAAACGTCTTTTACCGAAGATCGTATAAAGAACCTGTACTAAACAGATAGAAGTAAAATTAGTAGCAATCGATTTCGAATTCAATTTTATATCAACCTATACAAGGTCATTTAAAAAAGGTAAACAATTCTTTAAATTTAGGTATTTACTATGGGAGAGGCATGGGTGTACTCTGAGGCTGGCGCAATGGGACTGGATCAGAATGAAGGTTAAAAAGAATCCTAATTTTAAATATTAATTTTAAATATTTGTTCGGCTCAAGAGATCCCATGTATGTTTAAGCCAAAGAGAATAGATAAGTATAGAGTTGAATTAAATCGAAAAAGTGTAATGCATTCTCGAAGTAGGAGTTTTGAACGTCGAATTTGCGCTCAAACTCAGGATTTACAGATCTTTAAAAGTTTTCTATGTCTCAAATGAATCCGAAAGAAGTTTTCCACAACACTGCATACTCAATTCGACTACCTTACAAAGCCGGTCACTCCCTTTAAAGCAATTATTTATATTTCGATGTTTTTTCTTATTTAAATTTTTTAGATATTTAACAAATTGCTCAAAAAAATTTGGCTCTTCTTTTTTTCTGTTTAATTATTTATAAAAAGTTCTGGTTTAATTTTTTTTAAAGGAATGTAAAATATAACAATTAAGCTCTGTTCTTCTAGTAGCAGTGGTAAATTAAGGTTTTAGATCAGATGGAAAGCCATCTTTGTCTTGTTCACAATTTTTAGATATAAAAATTCTAAAGCTTAAAATGAATTTCTGTCCGAAATTTGGAGAGACATGAACTCAATGATTTGTCTAAATTACAATAAGGTTTTATATTTTTAGAACAATTATCACCATTACCCTACCAGTAATACTCTTTAATTGTCAATAAACATAAAATAATGCTGTATAGGATGATATTACTTTTTTCAATAATCTGGTTGTAAATCAAAAGACAAGGTTTCTAAAAGGCTTATACAATATTTACAGAACAAACTTGACAACGGTCAATAATTTGGAGATGATTTGGGTTTAAAAATTAATGTGGATCGGATTAAAAAATTTAATGATTGTTTCTCCCCTTAATACTGAAACTGACCATGTTTAGTGTACCACAATCCAGTACGTAAACAGTCTACAAGCAGTGTGTGCCTCGCTGCGTGAGATTATCTCTATTCTCGGCCCTATTCGCGTAGACTCGGTTGAGGGAGGGAACGGAGTGAAGGTAGGAGAAGAAGACGACCTTTATCTTCATCTTCACTTCGAGGGGAGGAAGGGGGAGAAACCCTTCGCTGTTCAGTGCTCGGTAACACGCTGCAGTGTTACCCTGCTAAGTGAGGGCTGGGTAAATCAACTTTAAAGGGACTGTAAGCCTAATTTCACGTGACCCTTTCAAGAGGGTAATGCCCGATTTACAAAGCCAGAGATCTGTGTTTAAACGTATCGAAATCTGCTGAAAATTCCGGTGTGCACTGCGTACACTGTACAGTGTACGGTTTGAACTCAACGCAGCGCACACCCCGGAATCATACAAGCGGATTTCACACACATACATCTCTGTATTCGACAAACACATATAGGTTTTAAGAGTATCATTGTAAATTGGTCATTATCCTCTTTGCATGGAGAGTCACTTGAATTTACGCTTACAGTACAGTCCCTTTAAGGTCGGAATTAATGAAGAGCGATGTGGATGATGAAGTTGGTACGAATAGTTGAGCTACTTCTCTACGTTGTTAAACTATCCATATATAATTCAACTATCTCTTGCTGTTTATTAAATCCGAACCGTGGCTACTTCTTGCATATTGCATTTCTTTATCACAAAATTGTATTGGCACAAAAATTTTTATTTTTTTATTTTGTAAAAAGTTGATTTGCCCAACCTGTCTCAACTTTTAACAAAATGCTTCAAATTCCTTTTTATAAAAACCTTAACAGAAATTAACCTCCTCTCTCCCCTCCTCTCTTCTTAATCTGCAATTATTATGCAACCTGAAGAGATTAAAGGAACTCTAGACGTAATTTCAAGTTAAAGAGTGGAATATCCGATGCAAAAAGGTTCCCTTTTAAACCCTCTGTCTGAGTAACTATGAGAAAGATATCATAGTTATTTTTCTGACAATTTCTCATTTATTCCATTCATTAAAGGTACCGTTGTGAATCGGTCATGGATCTCTAGAAATATGGAAGGGCACTTGAAAATACGACTAGAGTTCCTTTAGCAGTGTTTTGAAGTAATTTTCAGCAAACCTCAGAAATGTTATTTTTATGTTTTTTATTTTGTGAATTTTAAGAGACTCTGATTTATTTTTGCGAAACTCTATGCACAGTATAAAAAAGTGTATTTTAAGCGTTTATATTCTGATTGCATATATGATACAGGGTGTCATATTGGATTAATCAAAAGGTTGTACTCGTTAAATGACGAATTTCAATGTAGGTTTGCTTTGGAATAATACGAGCATCTACATTCACCCATTTAATACATGCTTTATTTAATCCACTATATTGTGGGACACCCTGCATGTAAGCAAAATTGAATTAAATATTAAACACTCATTTAAGCCTTTTGTAATTTATAAAAATGATTTGATATATTCGTATTTATTTATTTTTCTCAATGTAACAAAGCAAACTTTTAGACAGGGACAGATACAGACATTTGTCAGGGTGGTGGGGGGCTCAGTGAAAAGTGAACACCCCTTAAAACCGTGGATTTCAAGGATTCAGAGTGGGACTGAGCCCCGATACCTCCCCGCCACCATGTTTATATTTATCATTGAGATGCTTGTGGATCAAAAAATTCTGTGCCCGTTTTCATCTTTGACACTTTTAAACCTTTTATATTTACTTTTCTTATTGAAGATACTACTAATATTTCAGAGAGAATTAAAGGAGGTTTAAACGTTCATAATCTCATGAAAGAGATACTTCATTGATGGCATGGTTGATTCTCAGCTGTACCCTTCAAAGCTTTGTCTGATCAAGTATGAATAAGATATTTATGTTTTTGTGATTGAAAGCTTTATATTTTCAATTGTGGTTTCTTTAAGAATACGACTTAAGTACATTTCTTGCTTAAAAACACCACAAACCAGGAAAACGACGGTAACTTCCACACTATTGATCAGATCAAGGTTTCAAGAGTACCTTTAAGAACCATGAAATGCCTCTCATTTAAAATTTTTTTTTTTATTAAAATTAACTTAAAATTACGAAAATAACCCAGGCTAAGCATGCGTTAGAGGAGATTGAAAAACAGCTGGAGACTTTAGAAAAACAGACTCTATACAGAGATACTGCAATTACACTCAGGTAGATACAGACTCTATACAGAGATACTGCAATTAAACTCAGGTAGATACAGACTCTATACAGAGATAATGCAATTACACTCAGGTAGATACAGACTCTATACAGAGATACTGTAATTACACTCAGGTAGATACAACCAACTTGTAAAAACACGGGCAGTCGGAGTACATTTGAATTTCCGAGCCGGGTCAACCTTTCCGGTCCCAGTTTGTACTGTAACTAGCTCTATACAGAGATGCTGCAATTACACTCAGGTAGCTACAACCAACTTGTTAAAACACGGGCAGTCGGAGTACATTTGAATTTCCAAGCCGGGCCAACCTTTCTGGTCCCAGTTTGTACTGTACCTAATTCTATACAGAGATACTGCAATTACACTCAGGTAGATACAACCAACTTTCAAAAACACAGGCAGTCGGAGTACATTTGAATTTCCGAGCCGGGTCAACCTTTCCGGTCCCAGTTTGTACTGTACCTAGCTTTATACAGAGATGCTGCAATTACACTCAGGTAGATACAACCAACTTGTTAAAACACGGGCAGTCGGAGTACATTTGAATTTCCGAGCCGGGTCAACCTTTCTGGTCCCAGTTTGTACTGTACCTAATTCTATACAGGGATACTGCAATTACACTCAGGTAGATACAACCAACTTGCAAATACAAAGTTACCCACAAAGGTTGTGATTTCAATAACGACCTTTAAGACTATAAGATGACGGCTTAATAGTTCCATCTTATTTCCTATCATAACTTGGAATTTAAGAAATAGTTTAAGTAATAAGTAATGGGAGGGGGGGGTGAAAAATATGACATCCAAAAGCAAGTTTTTTCATCCTTTTTGATACTTTTTATCCTTTTTGATACTTTTTTATCCTTTTTATCCTTTTTGATAATTTTTTATCCTTTTTGATACTTTTTCCACAACAACTCATTAATTTCCCTTAAAAATCAATGATTTCCCCCAACTCAGCAAAGAAAGCACCTGATCTTTTTTTTGGCACTCCGTACAAATAATTCTAACTTTTGGAGAAAAACATTATTTTCAAAAAATTATGGTGGGGGGATGATTAAAAAGAATTAACACCCCTGAGGTAGAATTGTGTCTTCTACGTTAAAAACTCGATACAGAAAAATGATGATTTTAAGTGTGCGGAAACTTTTAAGCTAAAGAATAAACTGATTAAATTCCGTACAGTCGTCTCTGAAGTCTCATTCTTTGCGGGTAACCCTGTAAAACCCTGTAACCCTGTACGTGCCAAGCTCAATTCGCTCAATCCTGGGTTTAGCATAAGATTACATTAGCCTTGTTTACAGCAGACACGAAAATGGTAAAAATAAACGATAGAAATAATTTCAATATTGCAAAGACTATGGTTTTTATCCCTGGACACTGGACAGTGCAAGGTTTTGAGAGTTTTTAATTAAAGCTGCCATCAGTCTTGAAGTATAGTGTAATCCTGATAAAGGAATTTTTAATTAAAGCTGTCATCAGTCTTGAAGTATAATGTTATCCTGATAAAGGAATTTTTAATTAAAGCTGTCATCAGTCTTGAAGTATAATGTTATCCTGATAAAGGAATTTTTAATTAAAGCTGCCATCAGTCTTGAAGTATAGTGTAATCTTGATAAAGGAATTTTTAATTAAAGCTCATCAGTCTTGAAGTATAGTGTAATCTTGATAAAGGAATTAAACACTTGCCTTAAGCATTACATTGCTAATATTTATATCTTTGCAATATTATGTTCTAACCCTTTTATATCTTAACTACTTATGCGTTGCCAATAGTCAACAATATCAAAGGTTAAGACCATCAGGTTACAAAGATATAGGTATTAGAACACTTCAGTGTTTAATTCCTTTCTCCCTCAGAGCGTAAACATTTTAGATTTTTAGATTCAATGATACATTTTCCGACCTACGGATTAATTTAAATCGATATCCCATAATGAGGAATTGAGCGATTAAAATTTAAAGGTGCCCGCATCTGATATTGAGATCAGCCTTCTAGATTAAGAATACCTCGACCTTTGCATTTACAATTGTATTTTCAATATTTGATATATTTTTCATTCTGGTAATCAGGAAACATATAAAATAAATGTTTTCTTTCATGCACCTCTGACCCTTAAGTAAAAGTAAATTCAACCTAAAGTCTGACCGCGTCAACCTTGTTGCACCGGCTAGTCCAATAGAGTGTCTGCTTTATTTACCCAATGTCCGGGCGATACAGTATAAACTGGGACCGGAAAGGTTGACCCGGCTCGGAAATTCAAATGTACTACGGCTGCCAGTGCTTTGTAAAATTACAAAGAAATTTCATAGCCTACTATTTTCTAATTACCACTGTATCAGAAAAGTAAAATATTGTTTTTATCAGGATTTATTTTTTCAGGCAAAGTCGGACTGAGACCAGATTCAACAGAAGATCAATTGCTTTATAGAGGACTAGCTCAAGTACCTAATATTACCCGTAAGATTAATAAAATTTGAGCTTTGAAAAAAAATTAGATTTTTTAGCCTGTGTATCCATAGTCCATGGATTCCTTAAAAATTTGTATATACGAGCGAAGAGCTTTATGATATAGATAGATAGACATGTTGTGATAGATAGATAGATAGATAGATAGATAGATAGATAGATAGAAGGCTTGTTTTTTAATATAATATTTTTCATCAATTATTTCTCCGAAGTTTCTCTTTGGTTGGTTCTTTACACTATCTTTTAGCCTAACAGTTAAGAAATCTAAATATGAGGTAGATATACACCATGAACTGCCATAAACAAAGGTATGCATAATGTGTACATATACTCTTTGATAACTTTTTGTCCTAAAGGGGGAGGGGGTTAGATTTTGAAGAAACACTAGTTATCTAAATATACTTGTGAATAATAATAAAAAAGCATTCTTTCTTTTAACTATTTTTTTGCCCCCCCCCCGTTGCAGTAAACAGAATTGACGCATCAAAATTTGTTGCTTCCTTGTTTATTTTTATTGATTACATTTGTTTTCTTGTAGTGGCAGTTTCTTATTGTTAAAAAGAATTATAAAGTTTTCTTCCAGTACAGTTTTAAATGTAAATTTGGTTTTTGTTAAAATTCTAAAATCAGCACTACAATAATATTATTGGTCATTTTTGTTGTTGATAATATACATTTGATTGGTCCTTAAACTTAGTCTGTAGTTTGATGCTTGTTTATCCGATCTTAGTTTAACTTTTTGTTTTTTTAAAGTTTTAAGTCAAGATTGTTACTTTTTAAAAACTTTTTTAAAAATCTTTTTTATTATATTTTTCAAAAATATGTCTTTTAATAAACTACTTTTGTTTAAATTACCACTGCTAAAAAATTATTGTTCATTTAGATCTTATCTATTGTAATATGTATATATAATTGGCTATTAAAGTTTTTTGTTTAAATTACAAATGCTATAAAATTATTGGTTATTTATTTTTTTGTTGAAATACATTAAATTAGTACGTAACTTGATATGCAGTTTGATATATTTTTTTTTACTATCCTATAACCAATCATAACTTTTTTCTCTCTCTCTCTGACAAAACTTACTCTTTTTAAATTTTTTTTTTAAAAATCATTAAAGCATTTTTTTGAAAATAGCTCTGGATTCCTCCTCCTATAAACTAGATTACTTCCTTATTTTCTCCTGGTGTAGAGAAGAGCTAGCTCTGGGTTCCTCCTCCTATAAGCTAGATTACTTCCTTATTTTCTCCTGGTGTAGAGAAGAGCTAGCTCTGGGTTCCTCCTTCTATAACTAGATTACTTCCTTATTTTCTCCTGGATGAGAGAAGAGCTAGCTAATGGTTCCTCCTCCTATAAACAAGATTACTTCCTTATTTTCTCCTGGTGGAGAGAAGAGTTCTGGGTTCCTCCTCCTATAAACTAGATTACTTCCTAATTTTCTCCTGATGGAGAGAAGAGCTCTGGGTTCCTCCTTCTATAAACTAGATTACTTCCTTATTTTCTCCTGATGGAGAGAAGAGCTCTGGGTTCCTCCTCCTATAAACTAGATTACTTCCTTATTTTCTCCTGGTGTAGAGAAGTGCTGGCTCTGGGTTCCTCTTCCTATAAACTAGATTACTTCCTTATTTTCTCCTGGTGGAGAGAAGAGCTCTGGGTTCCTCCTTCCATAAACTATATTACTTCCTTATTTTCTACTGGTGGTAGAGGAGAGTTCTAGGTTCCTCCTTCTATAAACTAGATTACTTCCTTATTTTCTACTGGTGGAGAGAAGAGCTAGCTCTGGGTTCCTACTGATCAGTATTCCAAGTTGAGACGAATTATCTGAACAAACCAAACATAACAACCACAAACTAACAACAATCTTCAGAACTTAAAGGATTTCTCGGCGTCAGTTACTTGTCTTTCAAGGGTTTCCTTTAATCTTTTAACTCTCTGAAATTTAATGAAAAAGTTTTAAGAGGGTAGAATGTAAATTCTAACATAAATCTTGAATAGAAAAATATCTAAACTCCAATTAGTTAGTTTCATAGAATATCATTTTTGAGAAACTAATATCTTTGAAAGTCTTCATTTTCCCCTGAATCTTGCATTTCCAGTATGGTATCTTATAGCAAATAAAATTAGATATCTAAGAAAAACTAATCAACTAATTACGATAATATTGATTGAAATAATGATTGAAATGTTAGCGATATCTTAAAACTTTTATAATCCCTAACTTCCTGTCCGTTATTTCGAATGTTTAAAATTTCGAAAGGAATTAAATTTTTGCCACACACTTAAATTTCTAATCTCTATATATTTGCAACTGACCCTGTAAACCATTCAAATCACTATTTGATCTAACAGTGTTAATAGTTTAAAATATAAAAGGGTTACGACAACTGGCTGCTGAGATATATGGATAAAAATCAGGGATTGTGGCATATTTGTTTGATAATTTAGGTTGATATTACGAACCAAATATTGGGGGTTATTTTAACAGCATTGAATTTTGGAAGAGGTTGTTGGAATATGTTTTTTTTTCTGGAAAATGAACCGAGTTTACGCCACACACTCTGATTTTTTATCCATATTTCTTTGCAACCAAATGTCGGAGACCTTTGATAATTAAAACTGTGAATTCTGTTAGATCAAGTAATCTGATTACAAAGAAATTAAGCTCATGACAAGAACTCAGCTTCTTTTACAATTGTAACCATACTATTAAGAAGAAATCCTCATTATTGACCACAGCTTTTTATCGGAGACATCAAATTTTCATTGGAGACCCCAAGTTTATCATCGGAGACCCCAAGCTTTTCATCATAATTCCCAAATTTTCCTTAGAGACTCCAAGATTTTCTTAGGAGACCCACAAATTTTCTTTGGAGACCCACAGCTGTTCATCGGAGACCTCAAGCTTTTCATTGGAGAAGCTTCTGTTTCGTCAGAAACTCCTAGGTATTTATTAAAAACCCAATAGTATTATCGATTTTCATTGGGGTTTCAATGAAAATCTGTGGTCTCCGATGGAAAGCTTGGGGTCTCCGATGAAAATCTGTGGGTCTTTGATGAGATGGTCATGGACTTTGTCATTTAACTTTGACTGCAGTATTAGTAGGTGAAAGTTTATGTAAATGTTAAAATGATAAAAGTTCTTGAATTGCGAAGTTTAAAGTTCTGTTTCAAGATCAGCTCAAGTACTTTCCAACACCTCAACTAAGAATAATAATGGACATTTTGTTTAAAGGAATTGAGTCTTTGCCACAAACTTTGATTTTATAATCTCTATATCTTAGACCTTAGATATTATAAACTTGAATGCTGTTAGATTTAGATATTTAAGTTTAAAATATCAAAGGTTTCCACCCTCAGGTTACAAAAATATAGGAATTAGACGATCTGAGTGTCAAAGACTCGTTTAAATCTGAAAGCTTAAACGTAATTTCAAGTAACCCTGTGGCATGTCCGATTTAAAACCGTCTCTGAAAAGCTGTGTTTGATCAGAAATAAATTAGATATCTCTGTTCGTGTTTTTGAAAACATGACTTGAGTCTTTCTTGATTCAGAAACAATAAAGAAATTATCAGATTTGAGCATTGTATATAATATCTTCCCAAGGATTAATATGATTAAGTGAACGGTTGTGGAATATGTAAATAAACTAGATTGGCGTGAAATTGAACATTTTAAAACATGTTTCTCTACAAAAAGGAACCTGAGTACTTGCCTAAAACTGTAATCCTTACATCATTGCAACCTCATGTCGTTACGTAAAACTAACTACACAACAAAGTACATTCTGTCTGAATTCAAGTTTCAAATATTTCCGATCATATTTTGGACTCTCATTCAGAATTCGTTAAAACTCACTATTTCTTTACAGATCGTTGCAAGAAGGTTAAATGAATGAACACAATTTTCTTCTGTTTATTATACAACAAATATAAATGTACATAAACGTTTACATGAGCAAATTGATTTGTATTATTCCATTAAAAAATGTTTGATTAGAAAACTATTTGAAAATAGCATTTTTTTGTTTTGGACAAATAATAAAACATCAAATTACAAATTGTTATTTCTCTTTTTTGTAACAGGTATGTATTTGGTTCTAAGCTTGTTAAATTTGTCTCAATGATTATATTATGATATGTTTGATATCTCAGACACAGATTAGATTAGGATCAAAGCTAGAGTCGCTAGAGTACTATTTTAGGAACCAGGAGTGCAGAACTAGCTGGAGTACTATAACCAGAAGTACAGATAGTAGAACTTACTTGAGTACTATAACCAGAAGTACAGAACTAGCTAAATTACTATTTTAGGAACCAGGAGTGCAGAACTAGCTGGAGTACTATTAAAGAAATCAAAAGTACAGACCTAGGTGGAGTAATATTAAAGAAACCTGGAGTACATAACTAGCTGGAGTACTGTTAAAGGAACCAGGCGTAGAGAACTAGCTAGAGTACTGTTAAAGGAACCAGGAGTACTAGTACTGTTTAAGGAACCAGGAGCACAAAACTAGCTGCAGTACTATTAGATGAACCAGGAGTGAATCACTAGCTAGCTGAGGAGTTGTTAAATGAACCAGAAACCAAATTTAATAAATAGGGGAATTACTTGAACTTCAAAAACTAAGTTGAACCACTTCCCTTGAACTTGAATTGACACAGCGCAAAAGAGAAGTGGTTTAACTAAGTCCGTGTAGTAAACCACCTCTCATTATTTATCAAATTTTGTTCCTGGAGTATTTAACTAGATGGGCTGACAAAGGAGGGAAACGTGGAAATAGAAATTTAACCATGTAAGAGGGAGCAATATTATTATCATAATTATCAGGCTTATAGGTATATCCGGAGCACTACTGTTGCAGAACTTTTCACTGTCTCGAAGAATGATATCACAAGTATTCTGAAAATTAAAATATAAATTTGTGTTTCAGATTATAAATTTTATTTTTTTAAATCTCCTTTTCCTGCTTCCCTAATTTTATACTTTGTACTTGAATGCACATGTATATTATTATAATATTTCTGGTCTAAGATGTCCAAAAAATCCCAAAAGAAAGATTCGGATCATTAGAAACGACATATGCAACACGCACCTCTGCCCCTTTAGTAAAATTAAATTCAACATATATGAATTATAAAGTCTCACCGCGTCAACTTTGTTGCACCAGCTAGTCCTGTCCATAGAGCTAGGTACAGTACAAACTGGGACCGGAAAGGTTGACCCGGCTCGGAAATTCAAATGTACTACGGCTGCCCAGGGCAAAGGTGTGGTTCATTTTGTCTCTCTTCATTGGCCGGACATTAGTTTTAATTGTTTCTGATTGGTTAAAAAAACAATTCAGTCAATTAGGAAGAATCGATCACGTGGTATCTTTGCCTGCCCCCATATGGTCGAAATTCTCCGTTGTCGGTCTCCGACAAAGGAAATGAGAGTCTTTGTCACAAACTCAAATGTTCTGATCTCTCTATAGCTTTGCAACATGAAGCTGTAGACCTTTGATATTTTAAACTTAGATTATTTTATTTTTTAATAATGCACAATATCCAAGGTTTACGACATTAGGTTGCAAAGATTAAAGAAAATCTGAGTTTGTGACAAAGAATCAATTCCTTTATATTCAAAAATCCTTTTCAAATAATTTAAAATTTAGATTATTTTGTAGATTATGATATAGATTATTGTATAGATTATTATATAGATTATTATTTGGATTATTATATAGATTATTATATAGATTATTATATAGATTATTATATAGATTATTATATAGATCATTATATAGATTATTATATAGATCATTATATAGATTATTATATAGATCATTATATAGATTATTATATTATATTGTATTCTCAAATGTTTGTAGTTTTTAAAAGTTATTGTAAACCTGAAAATGATTTCCAACGCTTCTCTCTAGAAATGTTTTCAGGAACGTGTAGCTTTGATTGTTACAAACAGGTAGCTGAGGGATAGTTGTAGCAGAACACGAGTAGAATTCTCCATACGCACTAAACCAAGGAGTATGGAATAGAAGGGAGATACAACTGACGCGGCCCGCCATACCACATTATTGTACATGCTTTGCAGACGGTACTTCATTTGTATAAGAAATATCTGATGTACAATTACCACGTATACAATAACCGATTCTGAATATTTCTTATACAAGTGCAAAACATGTATAATCATATGGTAGGGCGGGCCGCGTCAGTTGTATCTCCCTTCTATTTCATACTCCTTACACTATATAAACAAATTCATCTTAGAAACAAATATAAGCGACAACTTTTTAATCGTCTTCGCTCCTGCGACATTCATTCATAAATCTGAAAGTACAGGGTGTCCCACGAAACATGAAAGTTGGTAAATAGTTTTGAAAGTCTTCTTCCAACTGTATAAGATATTTAAGACTTTTTGTAGTTTATTTAGTTTAAACAATCTTTTACCCTAATATATTTTACTTTGAATATGGATGCCATAAAATATTTATTCTTTTTCTCTTTAGCATTGACATATTATGGAAGAAGACATTTTAAACTATTCACCAACTGTCATGTTTGTGGGACACCCTGTAGCAGAAACAGCTAAATCCTTTTGCTGGGTGTTCCAAATGTGATCTACCTAATTTGTACCTCCAAAAATGACTGAGATATTAAGAATTTTGACTCAATTTCAATCTTCTTAAATTTTAATTTCCATACTTCATTTTCAAGATGACACGCATATAGAAGTTTACCAAAGAGATAATAAAATATATTGATCATTACCATAGATAGGATAACATAAAGAAAAGTTTGCCATAGATATGATAAACTGATGTTAGGTACTTTCCCAAAGGCCTTTTCCCAAGCGGCAACTTCCCATGGGTATCTTCCCAAGTGGCAACTTCCCATGGGTATTTTCCCAAGTGGCAACTTCCCAAATGTGCATCCCAAGCGGCAACTTCCCAAGTCTATCCTTCCCGCAGCACCCAGTCCCCTAACCTTGTTCTAGCCGTAGAGCTCGGCTTCATTGCGGCGACTCGTAACGCCTAACCTAATCGTTGGGAAGTTGCCGCTTGGGATATTAAACATTTGGGAAGTTGCCACGTGGGAAATTGTCACTTGGGAAGTCGCCCTTGGGAAAATGACGTTCGAAAAGAACCTAACCATACAGATAATAAAATTTATAGAAGTTCACCATAGAGATGATAAAATATATAGAAGTTCACCATAGAGATGATAAAATATATAGAAGTTCACCATAGAGATGATAAAATATATAGAAGCTCACCATACAGATAATAAAGTTTATAGAAGTTCACCATAGAGATGATAAAATATATAGGAGTTCACCATAGAGATGATAAAATATATAGAAGTTCATCATAGAGAGGATAAAATATAGAGTAGTTCACCATAGTGATGATAAAATATATAGAAGTTCACCATAGAGATGATAAATATAGAGTAGCTCACCATAGAGATGATAAGATATACAGAAGTTCACCATAGTGATGATAAAATTTATAGAAGTTCACCATAGAGATGATAAATATAGAGTAGCTCACCATAGAGATGACAAAATATACAGAAGTTCACCATAGTGATGATAAAATATATAGAAGTTCACCATAGAGATGATGAAATATAGAGTAGCTCACCATAGAGATGATAAAATATACAGAAGTTCACCATAGAGATGATAAAATATAAAGAAGTTCATCGTAGAGATGAAAAAATATATGATAAAATATATAGAAGTTTACCATAGAGATGATAAAATATACAGAAGTTCAACATAGAGATGATCAAAATATAAAGAATCGCATCGTAGATATGATAAAATATATATAAGTTCACCATAGAGATGATAAAATATAGAGTAGTTCACCATAGTTATGATAAAATATATAGAAGTTCACCATAGAGATGATAAAATATATAGAGGTTTACCATAGAGATGATAAAATATATAGAAGTTCCCCATAGAGATGATAAAATATAGAGTAGTTCCTACCAACAAATGTTCCAAAGCATATTACTGGTTTCCTGTTCTTGATGCTCGATACTGGAGTTATAAGTCTCCTAAAACAGATTTATTAGAATGGATCGGAACAAATGGCCAACCCGGAAAACGGAAATGATTAAAACGATTGCAGATGAGGATACATGAGGACTGAAAATATGTGTTTAAAGGTCTTGTTTCCATATTGAAAATAAATTAAAGAGATTTTAGTGAATTTCAAATGAACCTCCATGTGTTGCATGGCCGATCAGATAAACAACATCAGCTGTTGTCTGACCAGATATAAAGGATTAAGGACTGGTTACGTCCATTATGAGCAGAAACATACGGATTTTTTTTTTCATTGGTAATGTTAAACAGGATTTGAGGATACTGTAATTAATCCAACATGTTACTTTTAAGATGGAACATGTTACTTTCAAGATGGAACATGTTACTTTTAAGATGGAACATGTTACTTTTAAGATGGAACATGTTACTTTCAAGATGGAACATGTTACTTTTAAGATGGAACATGTTACTTTTAAGATGGAACATGTTACTTTTAAGATGGAACATGTTACTTTTAAGTTAAAGTCTCAATAATTAGGATAAAGCTTAAAACGCGACTTAAAGTTTTAATTTGCTGATACATATCTCCACAACTAACGCTTAAAGTTGAAAAGGATAACATTTTTCGAGCTGGAGTCACGACCACTGTTAAATAACTTTAAAACATTAAACTTTTATAGTAACTCAACACTTGCCTTATATCTTTGCAACCTGACGTAGTTTCCAATTCTACTAGATCAAATTCAAATGTTTAGTATAAAAGGTTTACAATGCCAAGTTTCAAAGTTTTAAAGGGATTTAATATTAAAGTTTATTAATATTATTTATGAAAGGGTCTGAAGGTGAAATATTAAGCGACCCTCCGCGCAAAGATGGCACTGCCAGATTTCTATGAATTAGATATCCATGTTCAAGTTTCTTTTAAATATTTATATTCATTTTGCGGCGTCCTTGCGAAAGTGACTAGCGTATGTCTTGGAAGAAGTAATAGAGAAATTATTAATTTTCGAGTAAAAAAACCGAGGGTATTTTCCTCCTTTTTAATCAGATTAAAGATTTGAAGGGTACCGTTGTAAATCGAGCATCATGCCTTCTTTGCATGTAGGGTCACTTGAAATTACGCTTACAGTCCCTGTAACCGAGTACTTAGTTCCAACCTCGTGAATGATAGAGTAGGAATCTCCGCATTGATCCTGGTTTAAAGCAACCTCACGGATACAGGTCGAGTGCTCCAGGTATTCTAAACAATAGGAAAATAAATAAATGTCAGAACTCCTCAAAAAAAGGGTTGAAAACAAGTTGACATTGTGTGCTTCTACATAAGATTGACAGGTTTGGTTTTC